TGGCGGGTAAGTTGAGATTAGCAAAGATAACACGGGGAAAAAGAAAGGGGGAGCAAGTACAAAAAAGAGAAGGAAAAGGCTGTGCAGTATTCACATATTCGTACACGCGCGTGCATCCGCTGACCGTACCTTCAGCGAACGCGCCGGACTTGTCGGCTTTCGATTGGAAGTGGAGACGAGGCATAAGACAAGGGTAATTGGTGTAGGACGATCAGCTATTGACGTGCGCCAAGACTTTGAATCTAGACTGAGCTGAGGAAGCACACATGATTGACATGTGTCGAGTGCATGCGCAAATACATAGTCACAAGATTTCTATGTTGTATCTTGTGTACGGGGAATACACGGCCTTGGTCTGATAATATCCCTGGTAGCTTTTGCAAGTATTGTCAGACATTTGCATATTGGAATTAATTTTGTTTTTGTTGTAATCGTGGAAAGAAACATAATGAGTTGAACCTGCAATTGTTCGTTTCATACACGCCAAGATTATGAATTCCTGTGTTGAGTTAGCCAACCAAGATGTCAGTGTCACGTAAGCTGCCTATGGGCCCTAAGAGACTTAGCAAATACACAGTGAACGCTACACTTCTTTTCGGTCCCAGGGAAACGTTATCATAACTATTTTACATGTCTAATACTCGATATGTATATTTTTTCTACTGCGACTTGAGCTTCTCTGTTAGCTCGGGGACCTTTTCGAAGAGATCGCCAACAAGACCAACATCAGCAACCTGGAAGATTGGTGCCTCAGGATCCTTGTTGATGGCAGCAATGACCTTGCTGTCCTTCATACCAGCCAAATGTTGGATAGCTCCGGAGATACCAGCGCATAGGTAGAGCTGCGGCGCAACATTCTTTCCAGTCTGTCCAACTTGCAAGCTGTTGTCAGCGAAGCCACTGTCGACTGCTGCTCTTGAAGCGCCAATGGCAGCACCAAGTGCGTCTGCTAGAGGTGGCATAAGCTTGTCAAACTCCTCCTTTGATTTCAGACCACGTCCTCCTGACACAACCTTGTCTGCTGAGCCGAGATCGGGTCGGTCGGATTTTTGGAGGTCCTCGGATATCCATTCAGTCGGACACTCGGCCTTGGGGTCAACGCCCTCTTCAACGGTTGCGTTTCCACCTTCAGCCTCAGGTGCGGGGAATGCAGTGCCTCTAACGGTGATGACCTTTGTGCTGTCGGACGATTGGACGGTCATGATGGCGTTACCGGCGTAGATTGGTCGGACAAACGCTGTAGGTTACGTCAGTACTACTGTTCAGCGATGCTATAACCTACAACTCACTGTCTTCGCTCTCAATGCCAGTAATGTCAGATATTTGTTGCGAGTCGAGGAGGGCCGAGACGCGGGGCATGATGTTCTTGCCAAAGGCCGAGTGGCCGGCAATGATATGTGTGTATCCGCCCTTCTTTATGTTCTCTACCAGGAGGGGCGCATAGTTCTCGGGGAGAGACTGGGATATGGTCAGCTCATAGGACGCAATCACTGCTTGTGCTGCCGACCTTATCGTATGCGCCATTCTCAACGTAGATGACCTTTTCCACACCCTTTGCCTTTGCAGCCTCTTCTGCGACAGCCTTGACTCCATTGCCCGCAACGAAGGCTGTTATGGAACCTCCAATCTTTGTTCCGGCTGTGATGGCGGCCAATGACTGAGATACGATCTTTCCATCTTTTTGCTCGAGGACCGCGAGAGTTGAGGCCAAGCGTGCAAAGGCCGAGTACTGTGGGACGGCGACGGGTTGCGACTGTCTAAGCCGAGTTCGAGCAGTTCGTAGGGCGCATTGGCGGGCGGCGGAGAACATGGCAGGCGAAATTGGCGTAATACCCAGAGAAGAGGATAACAGCCAAAAACGAGACAGTTCGAGGGAGAATGCGGGTTCAAGACTGGGACTGGCAAAGGCACCTCCACCAGATGTGCGGGACGGCAACCTCGGTTTGACCAGGCTGCATGGCCGGCGCTAGCCCTGGGGTGCGGAGCGCGATATTGATCACGTGATCAACTGCTCCTTAGTGGACTTTTGCTTGGGCCTGGTCGAGCATCGCGAACTTCAGACGCGACTCCATTGCACCCCATCGCTTCCCCCTCATCCCCACCCTCCCACGCCCACCACACGGCTGCAATTCGCCTCTTCATCCTGCCCGCGATCGCGCAGTCGCTCTACGCCCCTGCGCACCGCGATTTTCTCGTGCACCACTGCACCACGCTGTCAAGCGCTTCATCGCATCGCTCGTCTCGTCTCGTCCCGTACCCTCGTAGCTATGGCCGACGACACAACAACAAGCGCATCCGCCCAGGACCCCACCCTTTCCGGAGAAGGCGCCGCAGACACCAATGCGCTTGATCAAGGTAGGTCGCAGCTCTCCGCACTTGTTCTGTTGCACGCATCCCCAGCCACGTCGACGATTTGGTCGAACATATGTCTCCAGATCATCATGGCAACAGTCTTCTCTCTGCCTCACCCAAAACGCTGTACGGAACCAACAAGTTCAATGTGCTAAGTATCCGCTCAGACACAAACATGCTCGAAGACACTGCCGTCAAGGCGTCGTCAAATGAGCCCGCGACTGCAACACCTGCTGCCGCATCCGACAACCCTCTAGACGCACCCGACGCACCACGGCCGGAAGCCGAAGATGCAGATGGTCAAGAGGATGAAGAAATGGGCGGCACCGACGATGCAAAGAAGGAGGGCGAAGGCGCCGAAGCTGCGGATCCCGAAGCACAAGCAAAGGCCGATTTGCAATCGGCAGCGCGCTCCCACTTTGTCACGCAGACTTATGCGACCATCATTCCAAGCTACGCGACTTGGTTTGATATGCGCTACATTGACTACCGCGAGCGCAAGGCCCTGCCAGAGTTCTTCAACAACCGTAACCGCAGCAAGACCCCGGCCGTCTACCGCGACTACCGTGATTTCATGATCAACACATACCGCCTCAACCCATCCGAGTATCTCACAGTCACTGCATGCCGAAGGAATCTTGCTGGAGACGTGTGCGCCATCATGCGGGTACACGCCTTCCTCGAACAGTGGGGTTTGATTAATTACCAGGTACATCTCACGCCATGATGCGCCCGGATTAAGACTGATAGTGTTTAGGTTGACCCACAGGAACGCCCATCGAACATTGGCCCACCCTTCACCGGCCACTTCCGCGTCACAGTCGACACCCCCCGTGGACTCCAGCCCTTCCAACCAGGACCAGGCTCAAAAGTGACAGAGGGCAAGCAACTCGCAGCGACTGACCGCGCCGCGAGCCAACAACCCCTTGCAAAGAGCGAGACCAAGTCTCTGGCAGGCCGAAACATCTACGAGCCCAATGGCAAGGAGGCTTCTGTAGAACCCAAGGCGGCAAACGGAGAAGCGGCTGCAAACGGCGGATCAGTCGACGTCAAGGACCTCGAGGCTGCTGCCAAAGAGCCGACCAAGGTCATCAACTGCTTTAGCTGCGGTGTCGAATGCACACGCGTACATTTCCACGAGACGAAGCCTTCTGAGCAGCCAGGACAGCTTAAGGCTGCTGGGGGTCTGAAGCGGGATCTGTGCCCCAGGTGTTTCGTAGAGGGCAACTTCCCATCCGGCACATCATCAGCAGACTTCACTAAGATCTCGAATCCAGAGGATTTGGCAGCTACCGAGACCGAGGAGAAGTGGACCGAAGAAGAGACCCTCCTACTACTTGAGGGTTTGGAGGAGTTCGATGACGACTGGAATCGCGTTGCAGACCACGTTCAAACAAAGACTCGCGAACAGTGTGTGATGAAATTCCTACAACTCGAGATTGAGGACAAGTATGTCGAGGCAGATCTACCAGAGTCACAATCTGCGGCTCCTTCAACCAAATTCCTACGCGATCTTGAGTATCTTAGCGAAGGCCGCGTCCCAATTCACCATGCAGATAACCCGATACTGAGCGTAGTAAGCTTCTTGGCTGGTCTGGCACCTGCAAACGTCACTGAAGCCGCAGTCGCTTCAGGGCGCAGTGTCAACGAGATGAAGCGCATCTTGCAGGAGAAGATCAACAAGGCCCCAACAGCCCCCTCAGAAAAGGGCAAGGAAAAGGAAGGCGAGCAGTCGACACCCGCAGCCTCAGCTTCAGACATGAAGCCAGAGGGCGGAGACGCCATGGACATTGACACGTCCGCCGAATCCACCACAGCAGCCACAAAAGAAGCAGACACCTCTTCAGGCGGCAACCCGCTCGCCACCCTCCCCTTTGCCCTCTCCGCCGCGCGCTCCTCAGCGCTTGCCTCCCACGAAGAGCGCCACATCACGCGCCTCGTCTCGGGCGCCGTCAACCTGCAACTCCAGAAGCTGCAGCTCAAACTCGCCCACTTCAACGACTTCGAGAAGCTGCTCTCTGCCGAGCGCCGCGACCTCCAGCGCCGCCGCCAACAACTCTTCATGGACCGCCTCAACTTCCAACGCCGCGTCCGCGCCCTCGAGGACGCTACCAAAAAAATCAGCTCCTCGATGGGCGGTCAGGGCCTCCCTGGCAGCATGAGCAATGAGGACGCTGTACAGGCGCTTACAGAGGCTATTCGCATGTTTGGCGTTGGAAAGGGGGAGGATAGCATGGGGGTTAAGCGGGATAGCGTTGATGCGGGGGTTGTCATGCCAGTTGCTGACGGGGCAGAGGGATACGGTAAGATAGAGATTTAAGCGATGATTTGGCTTGGTGGTATTGGGCTGTTTGGTTTCTCTCCTCCCTTTATTATACGGTATTACATGTGGGTCGGGGGTGACGACGATGAAAGTTGCAGAGACACACGCACCACCCCCCTTTTTCTCCCATCTACCTTTACATTGTCTGGGGTCTGGCTACGGCTGTCCCTCCCATGTTTTGCGATGGAGATCCCCGAAAGTTTTTTCAAACTGGCGTGCGCTGGATGTGGATGTGGATGTGTGGTGAGCGCAAATCATATGTGCTCTCCGAACGAAATGGGATATTCGGTGTTTTCTGGCGTTTTTTTTCTTTTTTTTTCCTCTCTCAATTGAAATGGGGGTAGGATGTGTGTATCTCTCTCCCAGATATTTTATGGCACAGAAATTCCGGGCGGCTTCTTGTCGAGCAGGTTGTCTTCAAGCTTGCCTGCTTGCTATATATCGGTGTTGTTAGAGTAGTAGTAGTAGTAGTAGTGGTAGTAGCAGTAGTACTATTAACGTTTGTTTTTGAGAAAATATTTTCCATCACCAGTCGCTAGCAGCTAAGAACAACGTAATCGTGGTGTTACACTTATGTGATATAGTACAGCTACGTAATATAGTACACTTGGTAAGTTATGCTTCTCTCATATCTCAAGCCCCTCTCCCATCTACCTCTGAGAAAGCTTCTCCGTTCCCGGCTCGCTGGCATCGTGGCTGGCCTTGGGCACTAGGCTCTTGCTCTCACTAACCGGCTCCTGCTTTTTCGCCTTCGTGCTATCACTCGCATCCTTTGGCTTTTGACTGTTCTTCTCCTTCTCGCTCTCCACACTGCTCATATCTCCCCTGGCATCGAAAACTGGGTTGTGCTTGCTCTCGGGTCTGTATTCTTCAGGTACAAGGCCAGCATCCGAGGCGGCTGGCTTTGACTTCTGCTCGCCGGTCGATTTGTCTTGAACCAATCCCGAGTCTTCAGTTGTCGAAAGCTTAGGTGCAGAGTCGGCCTGAGGAGCGAAATCGGTGGAAGGCTGGCTCGATGTCTCCACTGGTTCTGGAGCCGTGGTCATGTCGTCATCAGCGTCATCAGAGTCAAGCTCGGAGCCGTAAATCTCGGGGTATTCACGGAAGCAGTTCTGCATGTCCCTAGTGCTTTGTTAGTAATCTATGCGATTCCAGAATTGGCCTCATTTGAAGCATCTGCGGAACGGTGGAGCGTACTTGAATTTGTCGATGCAGTCCATGCCCTTGGGTTCCTCTTTCGAGTAGACAAAGCAACTGAAAGCCGATTTGAACTGCTCACCGCAAGGGCCATGGGCCATACCTCCCAAGCATGGGCAATCCCAATTGATTTCTCCAGTCTCTGGATTAAACGCGCCTTGCTGATCCGCCTCTTCTTCTAGTCCTTCAATCCCTCCCTGTTCACCATTCTGCTGTGCACTTTCGGCCTCCTTTTGCTTCTGAATCTCCAATTGCGCTTGCACCGCCTGTCTTCGCTTGCGTTCTTCAGCGATCGATTCGATGGTGGGTAGGTGCTCGGATTCTACTTCGGTTTCTGGGAGTGCCTGGACAAGCTCTGGAAGCCTCGTCAGTTCTCAGATTCCAATCATTGTGCTATCCGAAGTCTGGACATACGCCTCGGCTCTTCTGCGAAAACATCCGTTGTGTTGTAGTAATATATTATGGCGCCAGCAATGCCCACCCGCGCAACCAAGCTCTTGAAACTTCTGGACTTTTGTGATGGCGGAGCTGTGCTGATGTAACGCTTGGTGGGTGCGACGGACCGCAATGACGCAGTCCGCAGCGCTGGACGCGCAATTAGTCGCGGTGCCGCTCGAAACATGGTATACAAAGATATGAAACAAAGAAGGGAGAGTCAATGAGTGTCGTGACGGGTATTGAGAACAGGAAGATACGCTGTCGTCACTATGCAAAAGTTATGGGACCTGCATTTCTAAGCGGAAAGCGCAGGGATCTGCATCGTCGGCGATTGACAGTCACGTGCTCTACAACTGATATCACCCCATCATTCTCTACGTCAACTTATTATATGATGCTCAAAAAATAATGCAAGCAGATTCAATACAGATCTATTTATATTCTTCATAAAATTGCAATACAGAGATAATAGAATGGGTATATTGAATGTCAACCTCGTATGTACAAAAGTAGACTTGGGAAAGCATCCCTCTCGAAGTCGAAATCAAATCTAAAGCTCCAAGCTTGATATGTTCTCCCATAACGGCAGTACACACGTAGTACTTAAACTAACCCAAGCCGAAACATCAAACTCTAGACGATAAAGCTACTGTGCCAAACTCGACATTGCGGTGGTACTTTGACCGAATGGAGTAGGGTTTGGGGCAAAGACTGTAGCCTACATTTATTGCGGCGGGTTTCTCTTGAAGAAATACCTGTTTCAAAATTTAGTAAATGAATCAATCGCAACACAAAGAGCAGGCAATGAAACATACTGGCTGACGTAGTAGTCACCAACACCGAACAGTCCAATCGCAGCGGCCCAGGCAGCGACGACTTTGCCGGTCAGTTCACCGCGTGCATATTGCCTGTATGCGCCGAATCCGACAATACCACCAACAATGGCGAGGCCTACGGCATTGCCGATAACAACAGGGTTATCAGCGTTCTTCTTGGCCTTCTCCTTAGCAGACTCCTTCTTTGCAGCAGCCCGTTCTTTCAGCTTCTCAGCTTCCTTCTTGACCTCCTCTTCGCGTTGTATGCGTTCGGCTTGTGTGTCGGTTTTGATAGATTGCGATTCGTAGTCAGAGGGCACGGAAGAAATGTGGGGGCTATCTACGTCGACGAGCGAGTGAACACTGTCATCAGGGGTGTGTTCGATTTGTGGGGGTGCGGGTGCACGACTATTTTTTACGTCAGTATTGTGGTACATGCTGTTTGTAAAATCCATCCATTTCTGTATTCAAGAGATGGGACGGTCGGCAGTGTCTGATCGCAGAGCTACAAAAAGAGCAGCTACCAAGCCAATTCCCTCGCAAGGAAGAGATGAATTTACTTACGCCTACCCCATTGTTAGCTATGGCACGTACTACAAAGTCTCTTATGTATGAACTTACTTCTTCAGGGCTCTGCTTAGGGCCCTTGGCAGCCATCTCTGCGTAAGACATGATGTAGAGGAGAAGATGAAGTGGTTTTTGGTAGGTGGGAAAGGGTCGTGTGAGATTGATGTGTGAGAAGCAAATCTGTTGATGGGTGCTGGGAAGCTGTGGAAGGTGACAGGCAATAGCGTGGTACTGGAAACAGGCTGCCTCACATGTTTATTCGCTTAGTGGGCAACCACATGACGTCATCGTGAGCGCGTTAGCGTGTCGTCACAAAACTGCCAAGCATAGGAACAGCACATGCCCGTGGAGCATGTGAATTGTCAAGGATTCTAGACCATATACCACACCCCTGAACTTGTTTCCAATTGACTTGCAGAAAGCGCATGGTATGCTGCTTTTGCATGAATCTATGACTATGCCACACCTTACGCTAAGATAACTAAACAAAAACAAAGCCCTGGAGGGTATAATAACAAATTCCATCATCACCATCAATACATCCCTGACAGTCGTTGGTAGGAAAGCCATCCAAAACCGAGTACAGAGTCGTATGATACAAGAAGATAGAAGAGAAGAAGGGGTGGAAGCCATATTATAACATCCAGTATCGACATACGAATATTGAAGATGAATGCTGCGACGCAGGCGAGTAGATAAGGAATAAGCGCTTTTCAACATTAGAAATATGCCCAACGGAACTGTACAAGCTACGCAGTGAGAGCCTAAACCTGTGTCTGACTCATCTATTCGTCGCCAAACACGGCCTTGTAGTTCTCAAGGAGCGCTTGCACGGCAACACGTTGCTGCTGAACATCTGTAAGCTCGCGCTGAATATCCAGAGGTCGCATAATGGTTGGCGCGAAAACGACGGCAACGTTCAATGGTGTCATCTAAGGATGTAGTTAGTAAAGAGTGAGTGTAGAACAACGCTTAGGGGAATGCATACCAAATTATCGTTAGCATGCTGAATGACGCGCGAAAGATGAAACACAAGGAACTGGAGGGTATCGCGGTGAGCCTTGGGTATTTCATTGACAGCCGCAGACAAAGCCTTGGCTTGTGCACTAGGCTCTTCAAGTTCTGGACAAGAGTTAGTGGTGATGAATTGCGCAAACGAGGATTGGGACTTACGGCCAGCTTCCAAAAATTGGTCATAGACGTCAAACGTGATCAGCGGTACAGGAAGCCTTCGGAAGTAATTCTTGAGCGCCGAGGTGATTGAGTGAATGTCCAGGTCGGGATCGGAAATATCATGTTCTGAGTCTGTCTCGAAGCCTTTGCGGACCTGGTTTACTTGAGACGTACCACCGCTCTTCCGATAGATACCTTCAACGTCCATGCCACGCAGTTCCACTTCTTCAATACATCGACTGACAATGCGAGGGATCATCTGTTTTTCGAACTCGCATCGGGCCGTTAGATCCGAACCGAAGAGCACGGTACTGGCGTCAGCAGGCAAGTTGAGGCTACTCTCATTGTGCTGCATTGGCCTATATTGAGGTTGGCCTGGTTTGCCACCTGTAGGCTTGCCACCAAACCAACCACGCTGAGCGTTCTGGTCTTGCTGGCTGCTCTTGATAGAGCTGGACATGGAAACGAGATCGGGCTGCTGGTGCACTGAGCCATAGGGAGTTCCGATGACTTTGATTTGGTAGTCCTCCTGTTTCTGCTCTGAGCCGAATGCTCCCTTGAATCCCTTTGTGACGTTCTTGGTGATGGCTTGGCCACCCTTCTTCCAGGTGGAGAACTTGGTAGGTTTGCCCGTCTTTCTGATGTTGACGACTTGTGGCTGAGCGACGGTTGCTTCAGACTCGGTGTCATGAAGGTTGGCGTACGAATGGTCATGGGCAATGGATGTCGTATCCACCGAGATTTCCGATTTTCCACCCTTTTGCTGGGCGGTGTATATGCCCAGACCGTTCGGAGGAACGTCAACATTTTGTCCGGGCTTTTTGTTGTTCTTCAGGTTGGTCTGTATGTTGTCTACTATGTCGCGGTTCATGGCAGAAAGTCTTGTATTGGCGGCCGTTAGCGACTCGTATTCCTGGAAACCCTTGTCCTTCATCTGGATAAGATTGGAAATCTCCTCAGTCAACTCCGATCTTTTAGTGATCAGATCTTCTATTTGATGACCCAAATTGTCTTTGAGCTTCTGCAGGGAGCTTCCAAAGTCTTTGAGAATGTCTGACTTGAGCTGGCCAATGTCCATGGAGCCTTGACTGCTCTTAGCGCGCTTAAGGTGCTCAGTCATGATCTCCAACTCGCGAATGACCATTTCACGCTGTGTGTCCAAGACAGCCATTGTGTTTCGCTTCTCTCGCAAAACTGTATTGGCTTGTTTGATGTCGGCTGCGCTGTGCATTGATTCCTGTAGCCCATTCTTTTCAGCCTCGAGCTCTGCAATTCGCTGCTGGGCACGGCGCAATTCGTTCCTCAGGTTGGCACCTTCTTCTTTGGAGTCTGGAGAGGGCACAGTGGGGCTGCTGATATCGACTGAGCCGTTTGCAGGCCATTTCTTGTGACTTCGTGTAGTGACGGAACGATCACTAAAACTACGCCCATGCTTCGAGACGGCGTTTGAGACTCTTCTGAGAACACCACTTTCTTTATCATCTCTGCCCTCTTGATTGCCGAGTAGTCGCGCAAAGTCTTCATCCATGGAGAAATCGCCCTGGTGACTGTAACGAGGAAGTCCGCCCGGAGGATAGGTATCTCGAGAGGCCTCACTGCTCATAGACTCGCTCGTCTTGTGAATCTGTGCCGAAGGTGGTTGTGGCGGAGCACGTGGAGAGGTAAATGTATCAGTCGGGGGTGGTGCTGGCCGGCCGCCCGAACGTGCAGGAAGAACGGGGACATCAGAGAGACTTCTGGAGGATGGTGTATCCGCCGCAGCAGTGATACCGAGACCCGCGTTCAATTGCGCCGTAGCTGCAGTTGCGGACGATGATCGATCCGGATGGCTCAAGGTTGGAGTTGTGGGCGAGCCACCAGCTCGATCGTGTTGGGAAGACCTGATAGCAGCGGGGTTAAGAGAGTCGCCACGTGCTGGCCGTTCAACAACCAAGTTGGAGCCAAAGGATGATTCTGAAGTATCGGGTGAGTCCTGCGAACCAATGGGTGGAGAAGATGTGAACGATGCTTCCATGAAGGAACGGCTGTGGCGGGAAGGCGTAGCGGTATTGGAAGTGCTACGCTGTTGCGGCTGGCTGTACGAGGAAGCTGTGTCATCAGAGTCTTTGCGCTTTGCATCTGCCTTCTTGCTCTTTGGAACATCTTGTAACTTGAAGGGTTCTGCAGCTGAAGACGGTGCAGGAGAAGCATGCTGACTCTTGGACCGAGGTTCAGCTAAGGTAGACTCGTTGATGCCATCCTTCTTCTTCTTCAGCGTGTCCACCATTGTGTCCGAAGGTTGCCGTCCCTTCTCTTGGTAAGCAATATGTGGGCTTCCAGCCTGCGGTTGATAAGTCTGCCTTCGCTCTTTGGAGGCATCTCGTGAGGCATCTCGTGAGCCATTCTCCTTGAGCTTTTCGCGATGATCGGCTGTAGGTCTGTTGAAGTAGTCGCGGCCGCTCTTTCCCTCTACGTTTCCGGCTGACTTTGCTCCTTGTCGGTCGTTGATTCTGCTTGTAGGTCGACCTAGGGGTGATGGGCCTGGTGCCGGGTTTGGGTCGAGAGCGAAGGGAAGAAGGATGCCGTCGTCGGCAGTATCGACAGGTTCTGAGCGACTGGTGTCTTTGCCGTAGGTTGTGGCGGGAAGTGTTGTGTTGTCTGTGTAGTGTGGATTTGTTAGCTATGAATTGGGACTGACGGAGTGTGTGTTATTTGGCAAGACGAACCCTTTCGAGACAGATCTGGAATAGGTGATGCATCGCGCCTGAAGTTTGAAGACGAATCGCCTCTTCTTGGGTGAGGTGGCCTGGGAGATACATCGGTTGTAGGAGGCTCCGAAAAGGCTTCCGAGGGCGTGTCCAGGTCTGGGGTGAAAGAGCTGCTGGTTGGTTCCTGAGGAGGCAGAGCTGGCAGAGACTTGTCTACTTTTGGTGCAATTGAGGGCGGCTTTTTTGATTTCTTGCGCCGGCGGGCCATGAGCGACTCATGACATGACATGCAGAAGATTCCCTGTGAAGTACGAGCATAGCGGAGGTTTTCAATCTTGCGCTTGCAATTCCGGCACCTGAAGCAATTGGCACAAAAGGCTTGGTCACCAGTCAGAATGGCGAGGTCCTCGATCTTGTTGCCGCAGTGGTTGCAGCTGTATGTACAGTTGTTGCATATCAGGGAACCGTCGCCCAGGAGCAGCAGATTCGCATCGGAGTCGAGAAGGGTGCCGCAGGTGTTGCAGCGGAAACAGTCGATGTGCCATCGGTTGCCAGCTGGACAGTGTTAGCGAGCGTGCGGGGAGGATATGAGTTGGGCAGCGTAGGGCGGAGCCGGGCAGGGAGGGCAGAGCAAGGCAAGGAGGGCATACCGAGCTCGAATGCTTTTCCTTCTTCGAGGATCTGGAGGACGTATGTGAGCAGGCCAGCGAGAGGAACAAGTGAGTGCTGGGGGCGGCGCGGGTGCATACCTCTCCACATCCTTTGCAGGGATACACGACCTCGTCGTCGATTGGAGACTCTGGATAGGCTCCTGGGCTATCCATGGTGTAGGGGCGAAGTGGACTGCGGCAGGCGTGTATGGATGGGTAAAGAGGGGAGGAGTCCGGCAGCCAGCACCAGGCGAAGGCGTAGGCGTAGGCGTGTTGGTGGGCGTAGGAGGTGGTGGTGGTGGTGGTGGTGCAGTTGAGTGGGCGGTCGGTCGATCGGTGGCCGCCCCCCCAAGAGCGTTGTCAGGTTGGTCGTGGGCAGCGTCGCAGAATGCGCAGCGGCGGCGGCGACAACGGCAGGGTCACAGACACAGACAGGGCGAGTGGGTGTGGGCAGCGAGTGAACGGCCTCTGTGCGCGACGAGGGTATTCGACGACAGCTGCACATCCGTCCCCTCTGGCGTGCTATGTGTGTGGAGGAAGGCCCTGGGTCACGGTGCAGAGCCAATGAGCGGGACCAGCCTCGACCGCCGGTGCGCCCTGACCTGGGCAGGGTCTAGGAGAGAGAGATACGCGGCAGAATCCATGCCCGCAGTGCCGCAGTGTCCAGCTGCACGCTACGCTCTGCATATGTCCTGCACATCGGCCCTCGGGAGCCCGCATCATCTTGTGCAGACATGGCAAAGGACAGCTGGTGGTTGATGTTATGTTGCTCGCATGTTGGCTGTGGCTGTGGCTGTGGCTGTTGCATGTGGCTGCCATGAGGTGTGGCTGTGGCTGCTGTGTGGCAGTTGCAGTTGGGTATCGTTTGCCTTCTCTCTCCTCTCACTCTCTCGCCCAGCAGACAGTGACGGCAAAGGCCAGCCGAGCATTTCTCATCACGGCCGGCGCACATTGCTCCACGCTACGCTAGCAGAGCATTACGAGGGCGTAAAGGCGTAGAGGCCCTGCCAAGACACACGCCATCGCAGATCGTCTGCTCCTTCGCCTCTCGTAACCCGCGCCAACGCCATGTCGACCCGCCTAGATTGCAACCGCTCTCACACCGTCTATTCTCGACATATTAGACTACATACACACCCACACCCATTGGACTCCAAGTGCACACATATATATGGATATATGCAGCTGCCGCTGTCTGGGGGCTGCTAACTTGGACGGTGCCGCCATCCTCCTGCCAAAGCACCGCACTGCACAGCACAGAACACCAACGTCGAGCACAGCGCAGCCGTGGGCCATCAGCATCACGAGTCGGACAGGGCCTCGAACAAGCATCGTCATTGCTAATCACCGCCCATTGCTCCCACTCCCTCCCAGCCTCTTCCTGCCCTTCCAACCTCGTCATACGTACATGTCTGTATCTGTGTCCGTGTCCGTGTCCACGTAGCATGCCGTGATGCAGGTACCCATCTGTCTTTTCAACCCAACCAGATGCCCAATGGCCCAGTACCACCATGCAGAGCCGTTTGTACCATCCGCTCGTTTCAGCGCCGGGCTACCTGTCTGCCTGCCAAAGTGCACCCACCCGACGCAGACTGATCGTAACCTCACGAGATTGAAGGACCCATATTATCCACCCTTGTACCACTTGCATCCGCACCCTTCCACCCCACCACACCCTGCCCAAACCCACCCAAAGTCCTCACACAGCCTCAACCTCAGGCCCATCTTGACTGCTGTTCTTGCGACGTTGCGCTATTATGTGCGGAAATTATTTGCCCTGTCGGTATTCGCTCATTTGCGCGCTTCCCGGATCCTGAAACAAACGGGAATAACGACACCAACACGGACACGTTTCATCCAGCCGAACGGTCCCTGCTGATCTGCCCTGTCCCAAGAGTCAGCTTCAGACCGCGATTTGCCCTCAGCCAACAATATCCCTCTCCCACCTGGCACCACCAAGCACACTGTCACACACGCACACGCACAAGGCCCGCATACCATGTCTCTGGACCCCATTGCCGCACTGCTGTCTCAGTAGCACGCTACTCAACACCGACTCTGTTTGAACATCCATCATGGATGCTTACTTGCCCTTGTCCTCGTAGTCGCATTCGCGTTTGTTGCTAGCCTCGACTAGTCATGGCGCTCAATTCTCACCTCATGTGTCTCTCTGCCTTACCCCTGCCCCACGCATTCTTGATCGATGTCAAAAGCCGGGCCCGTGGTAGTTACTAAACCTTATCCACGAGCCCCGGATTGTGGATGACTGATCTTCCTTCTTGATCGTGACGTAGGGGCTGATCGACTCACAGATCTGACCCTTGTGTCAGTTATGCCAGGCTGACGGGACTTCCAAGCACTTCCCGTTGTATCACCACCTCTCTTGTCCGTCCACCCCCCAACGAAAGGCTTCGGCCAACCTTCCAAGGTTCAAATGTATATCCATTACCAACCCATGTATGACAGACATTTGGAGTTTGGTGTCACAGTATACTCAAAATGCCGCTCTTGAAGCCCTTGATGATGGAGTGCTAGCCCAACCAAGAGGCTGCAAATCGTCTTTCCCAATCAGGAAATATGTCTATTATTATGATTATGGCAGGCATGGTGACCAAATTTCCGTCTGCATGCTGCTACTGCTACTGCTACTGCTACTGCCGCCATCATCCAGATTTCATTTCAAAACTTTACTAACCTTCCAAGAACCTGCGTCTCCGTGCTCAGTCTACTATTCGCACAAAACCACAAGCGGCATGCACATGTCCCAAACGGTACCAACACGTGGGGCACTAACATCGTCGTGACATGGCCCGGCTGTTCCTTCCGTCAATCGTTTGCTCGGAGTTGTGCCCAGTGTTGAGTCTTTAGCGCAAACTTCCGACCACGGCATCTTCTCTTCACAAATCACATTGTCCGCGGTGCTCATTCAATACTCCCAAAACGGCAAGTACAGTGGGGTCTGACGCATTACACAACCCGCACAGCCAGAGCCAGAGCTATTACCCCGCCCCAACGGTTGCTGAAGGATATTCGTGCATGACGAGGTGGGGGTCTTGAAATATTTAACCACCTGTTCAATTCAATTCTTCGTCTTCTTCTTCGCTTCCCCTTCCCTACGCTTTGAGCCCTTTGCAGAATTCGATTCAATTCCATCCAATTCATTATTCGTACTCATTCACCTGCTCCAACCTGTGTCCTAGAGTCAGAGCTGACCATCATCTAGATACTCGAACCTCAAGTATGGCTGCCACAGTGCAGACTGTGCTCCGCACGCGCGTCTTGTCCTCAAGTCACCTAGGTACTTTCTACAGCTAAGTATACTGCATGAACCGGTGTTCGTCTCTAGCCATGTCCATCTTGAACACTGCTGTGCATCTGCACTTTGGTTTCAAGCTGGGAATGGCTGGATTCGTTCTGAGATTATACGGTTTCGAACTTGATCAGGATAATACCTGCGTAAAGGATCATGCACTGCTCTGCTCTGTCTCTACCCCTGTAGAACAGACCTAACTGACTGCAGGTTTCGACCCCTGAACACCTTCGACCATGTCTCCTCCTGCTGCCATGTACGAAAGGCCCGCTGCCGTTGACGGCAACGGCATTGCCAAAGACCTGAGTCTGAAGAAGGACCTTTCTGTCAAGGATGCTACTGCTGCTGTTGCTGGCAGCCAGGCCAAGACTGTTGCTGACCTCGAGAACAACTGGGACAAATTCACCTTTGCCCCCATCCGCGAGTCGCAAGTCTCTCGTGCCATGACCCGCCGCTACTTCAATGACCTCGACGCCTATGCCGAGTCTGACGTGGTCATTGTTGGTGCTGGCTCATGTGGTCTCTCCACTGCCTTCACGCTCGCCACCAAGCGCCCCGATCTCAAGATTGCCATTGTCGAGGCTGGCGTTGCTCCTGGTGGAGGAGCTTGGCTCGGTGGCCAGCTCTTCAGTGCCATGGTCATGCGCAAGCCTGCTGAGCTCTTCTTGAACGAGCTTGGTGTGTCATACGAGGACGAGGGCGACTTTGTCGTGGTCAAGCATGCTGCCCTCTTCACGTCCACCTTGTTGTCCAAGGTCCTGCAGTTTCCCAACGTCAAGCTGTTCAATGCTACAACTGTTGAGGACCTCATCACTCGTCCTGCACCTACCGCCAATGACCCCAATGCAGTTCGCATCGCCGGTGTAGTCACCAACTGGACGCTCGTCTCCATGCATCACGACGGTACGTTGAGCATTTCTCTCTCGGCAGCCTACACTAACAAACAATTCTACAGACCAGTCTTGCATGGATCCCAACACCATCAATGCCCCACTTGTTATTTCCACGACGGGTCACGATGGCCCCTTTGGTGCCTTCTCCGTTAAGCGCCTTGTCTCGATGCAGCAACTCGAGAAGCTTGGCGGCATGCGTGGATTGGATATGCGCACCGCCGAGGATGCCATTGTCAAGCGCACCCGTGAGATTGTGCCTGGCCTGATTGTTGGTGGCATGGAATTAAGTGAGGTTGATGGCGCCAATCGGATGGGCCCTACCTTTGGTGCCATGGCTCTCAGCGGAGTCAAGGCTGCTGAAGAGGCCATCAATGTGTGGGAGGCAAGGCAGGCTCAGAACCTCGAGTCTTAGAAGGGCTCATTGTTGTTGAATGGAGCCGATGCAGGCTGTTAGTCTTGCGAGAGAAAATAAAATCCATTGGCTTGCCAAGTGTCATGTGTAGCCGTGGGTATTGTTGACATTGTTGATAAATAACAAAGGAGTGTGACGTTAAAGGCCGCACGCTTGACTGGATTCGTAACATGGATGTTTCTTGTAATGGCTTTCTCGGTCTGACGTGGCAAGCCCGCGGGATTGAAGACTCTAATCGACGTGGGCCATGTTTGTTGGAGATGTGATGCGGAAGAGCAAACACACGTGGAGAGTGCCTTGAACGGGTCAAGTAAAGGACTCATTGTCTATCTCGAAGATTCCAAGGGTGGATCGGCCATGGGGGGAGGGGCGCTGGAGGCGCCAGGGTTGTGCATTAGGAGGGCGCACGGGTTGCTGAGCGACTGGCTTAGCGCGAACGCAACTACGGCAGTACCGTGCGGGCCATAAACAACGCTCACAACACATTCAACCCCCGCCTCTAACAGTATAGGATCAATCTCCCCCAACGGGCCCTTTTTGTGCCCATCATGGAGAAAGAGACATCGGATCTGCTCAAGGCCCTCCAGAAGCCCTCGACAGACGTCCAGTCCCGTCTGGCGCTCTTCAACACCCTCAAGTCGAGTATCAAACACAACAGAGTCCCTGAGAACTGCCAGGCCCCAATCTTCGAGTGCATCCGCATCGCCTGTACTGCCGCCACCTCCGCCGCCCTCGTCTCGACAGGCTTCTCGACACTAAGCCACTTCATCAAGCGACTGCAGCTACAAAAGGACACACACATTCTCACCTCGCAATCCTCGGTCCTATGTTCCATTCTCGCCGACAAGCTGGGCGATGCGCGCGAGAGCCATCGCATCGCCGCCTCGCAAATCCTCGCTGATTTGCACTACCTGTTCCCTGCAGAGATTGATGCGCTCATCCACGATGCCGTTAAGAGCACCAACCCGCGCGCCAAGGAGGCGTCCATGGCCTGGGTAGTAAAGGTGGGCTTTCTTTGCGGCTGACGCGCATGGGATCGAAATGACAAGTCTAATGTTACCGTGACAACAGATGAACAAGACCGAAGGACTGCCCTTCAAGAGCTACTCCAACCAGCTCGTCGCAAACCTCGAAGATGCCGATGCTGGTGTGCGCGACACGGCCAAGAAGGCCGTTGTCGACCTCTTTGGGTATGTGCGGTTGGGCTGGAAGCAATGGGTCGCGGAACATGACTGATAGATCCACAGACATGCACCAGAACACGCCAAAGCAAATTTGAAGAAGCAGCTCGTTGCTATGAACGTCAGAAAAGCCATCGCCACCTACATCACAACACACCTCGACGACGCCGCAGTGACAAAGGACGCAGACGTAGCGCCACAGCCACCACCGCAACACACACAGCCCCAACCCCAACCAGCTGCTTTTTCACGCAGTATTTCTGCGAAGCGAGCGGAGCAATTGCAGCCCGACGTGGGCTTAGCAGACAGCTATGCGTCCGAACTACCGCCGCCTGCCGAAGTCGTCGTCATGGACCCTATTCACATCTATACACAGCGCGAGCTGGACGACATCTTCCGAGACATGGCGCCTTGGTACGAGGGAAAAGAGAGCGAGGCCAACTGGTTAGCGCGAGACAAGAATTGTACCAAGCTGAGGCGCATTTTGAAGGGTAACGCACCGCACGAATTTCACGGAGTTTTTGTTGCTGGTATCAAATCACTTCTCGATGGCATCCTCAAAGTCGCAAACTCCCTCCGAACAACAATGTCAACTAATGGCTGCCTGCTGGTTCAAGAGCTTGCCAAGACGCTTGGTTCCGCCATTGATCCCTGGTCCGAGATTCTGTTGCAGTGTTTCGTGAAGATGTGTGCTGCCACCAAGAACATCGCTGCGCAGAACGGAAACGTCACTGTGGATACCATTTTCCAAAACATCTCATACAGCAGTCGTCTGCTCCAACATGTTCTCTTCGCCTCGCAAGATAAGAACGTTCAGCCAAGAACATTTTCTGCCACATGGATCAAAACCCTAATTCGGAGGCACACATCGCACATTGAGCATTCTGGCGGAATGGATACATTGGACACCATAATCAAAAAGGGAGTCGCTGACGCCAACCCCAAAGTGCGCGAGGCTTATCGAAGCGCATATTGGACATTTGCCTTGGTATGGCCTCAGAGGGCGGAGAGGATGCTCGACACATTCGAGAAGCGCGAAAGGAGTGCTCTCGAGAAGGACCCCAACAATCCAAATAGTTCACTCGCCTCTTCCCAAGCCAGCTCAGCATCCTTTTCAAAATCCGTCGGTCCCGGTACCTCACGAAGTGCTCTGAAAGAGAAGATTGCTGAGCAGAGGAGAGCCAAATTGGCCGCCGCAAAGAACATGCCCGAGCGACCTAACTCTGCTGCCGCAACTTACGCAGCACCAGCAAAACCACAGCCTAGCAAACCAACAACCGCAAGGACGATTTCCAACCTCTCTGCACCATCTTCTGGGCCAGCACGACCTCCGTCAGCCATGTCCGGCGAGTCGACGAAATCAGCGCTGAAGAACTCTACAGGTACCGGCTCGCTGATGTCAGGGACAGTACGGCGTCCAACTCGCCCACCTCGACCTGAGCTGAACAGGCCGGCGACAGCCGACCCATACGCTGTTCGGCGACCAGGCAAGTCAACGCCTAACATGACACCAGAAAAGACGCCAGCTACATCGACTGTAAAGAAGTCAACTACATCGAAAAGCACTGCCCGGCCGCGATCGCAGACTCACAACAGCCCAACTGTCAGCCCTGCTCGCCCTAAGTCAAGAATTGGTCAACCTGTTGCACACGGCAAAGCTCTTAGTGGAGGTTCACGACATGCAAGTCCAGCTGCGAGCCCTGCGAAGGACGAAGAATCGACCACGAGAAAGCCGTGGGTAAGGTCACAAAGTCATCACGACTCAGGGACTATCCCATTTAGGCACAGGAATGGACTTGGCGGAAGTGCAGCTATAGACAACGAGGCGATTGACTTGGGCGACGATGACAACTTCACGATGGTCATTCCAGATCTAGCGAAACCTGCAGCACAACCTACGCAGCGCACACCACCGAAGCCTAGAGTTTCTGCAGGACGACTGCCAGTGCCTAGCCCCCGTGCATCAATGCTAAGGAGTCCAAAGTCTATGGGCCACCTCGAGGCTGCCAGCTTGCGCTCATCGACACGAAGTCTAAGTACGAGAACACCAGATCGAACGGGTACTCGAGGAACCGACACTGGCGATGAGGTCCGGGTGTACGAAGATCCATTCGTTGGCGAGGAGCCGGCGCGCATGGCGAAGGAATCAGAAAAGCTTGTTCTTGAGGAGCTACCCATTAATGAGAAGAGCAACGAGCGTCGACACAGCAGTGGAAGCGTATCGAGTGGCATCATGATGGGGAATGACAACGACGAGCGCCCACGCGGTCACCACAAGACGAATAGTACGGGAAGCATTCTACAGACGGAAAGCTATGACACGGCCAATGCTGAAGTGCTTAAGAACCGACAGCTACTGGCGAGCGGTATCAGGAAGATTGAAGGTCGCACAGTCGAAGCCCACATGTTTCGACGCATGCAGGACATGGTCAAGTCGAATCAGGAAATTTGGGGGCCCAATGACGAAAATTTTGGCAAGCTGCTCGTAGCTTGTCTGGACTTTCTCGAGGCACCAGTTCAAGAGTTGAAGGCGCCCCAGATAAAGGCTGTCAACCTGAAGGTACAGGCGCTAGCGACGATCCGTGCATTACTCTCTCTATACCGCAAGGAGACTGCTCGATACTCTGCCCGTGTGCTTCGAACTATTCTACAGACGAAAGCACAGTATGAGAACACTTCGCACATGGCCATGGATCTCGAGGTGACTGCAGACGAGATTGTCAAGTACGGCAATGCACTGGACTGCCTCGAAACCGTCCTTTCCCTCATCGAAGACTTGTCGGCCTCGACACCATCATCCTCACCAAACTCCAAGTCCTCAGTCTGCTCGCTCCCCGGCCAAGCACCCACCCGCACAATAACCATGTCGCTCAGCACGCTCGCATCGCTCGTCCAGATTAGCGGTGAGAAGAACCTCAGCCTGTCACCCGAACAGACTGCCCGCCTCGGCAGACTAGCTGTCCGCTGCATGGACGACCAAGACGCCGACGTCCGCAAAGCCGACATTGAATTCTGCGTTGCCCTCCATCAGCGCATCAATGGCTCGGATGCTGCAAAGGAAGACGGCGGATTCTGGAAAGTCGTTGCTGGGGCTCGAGAACAGCATCTCAACTTGCTTACTTACTACCTTGCTAAGAAGAGCAGGACGTAAGGTGCGGTGGTTGGAGTTCTTCTTCTTCTTCTTCTTTTTGCTTCTGTGTAAAGGGAAAAGCAGGCTTGGTTTTCTTCATGACATCCCCCACATTTATTAGCTGGGAGGGTTTTTTCTTCCTTCCTCTTTTGCTTTGGGGTTTCATAGGGAGGGTCTAGGGAGGTTTGGAACGGCACTTGGGACGGACGGGGCTTTTTTTTTGAAGTAGAAATCTTGAACTTGAGTGGTTGATTCTGTCTTCCCTCTCCGTCTCTCACGTGTCGGATGGTTCGTGTCAGTAAAACCATTCTGGATGGGGGGGTTTATCATGGGACTAGGGATAAAGGGAACTTTTCTTTCGCCTTCTCTTCTCTTTCTTTCCTTCTTTCTTCCCGGTAAACAGGCGTTATTCGGAGAAAAAGAAAAGAAGAGAAAAAAGTTAGTTTGTGTCAACTCTGGTTTAGTTGGTCACAAGGTCCTACTTTCTGTTCTTTCTTCTTCATTTTTTCTTCTGCTTCTGCTTCTACTTCTGTCGTTTAGAATAACATCATGGGAAATATTTTTTGGTATGGATATTTAATTCTAACTTTTTTTTCCTTTAAACACAACATTCCCTTCGTATTTCTGTTGCTTTCTTCGCGGTCGCCTTTATTCTTTTATTTTTTGTTCGGGGCGGTTTGCGGGTTAGGGTTCGTAAGTTACTTAGTTTTTTTTTTAAATTAATGGAAAAAAAAGTGGAAAATGCATTTTTGGGATCCCTTTGAGTGATCGATAGATATCCTGTTGGAAAGCCAAAGTAGCAATTGTACACCCGGCCCAGATTTGAATACGGCGAATGAGTAAAGCAATGTATCGAGAAAAGGAACCAAACTTTTATACAGTAGCATCGACATCGTATTCAACATCAGTCCTGATGACGTACTTTGCGCCTTCAACCACACCCGTACCTTCATGCAGTAGCGCGCCCTGAGCCTCGCCATGCGGGAAGACAGCAACGCTGCCCATGATAGGTTTGACGGGGTAGGCATTGATAACGCCCTCTTTCACACTGGGTATGAAGAACGTGGTTTCGCCGCCCTTGAACTCGTCATTAAGGTAGATGAGAAAGGTGAAGAGGGAGGATTGGCGGGCATTGGACGGCGAGGCATCGTATTGGTATTTGTCTGTTACAGGATCAATGCCTGAGGGTGGCCATGCACCATCTGAGCAGCGGAAAAAGGTTAGTCAAGCATCTAGTTGGTTTCAGGAGTATGATTAGACATACCGATATGACAGCGATACTCGGCACCTGGCACATATCGATACACCCTGAAGCGGCGGTTGATACCTCGGACCTTCTTGCCTGCTACACTGTCTGGCACAAACGCCTTTACTCTATCCCAGAGCTTGTCGTGGAAGGCTTGATCGACGATCCAGTAAAAGTTGTGGGCTAGCACACTAGTGTCTTCGCCTTGTGGGCGCATGGGCGCATCGGGTATGAATTCTATTGTCTCTCCTGCGGCAATGATGGCAGAGCATTCGTCAGGAGAGAGTACATCCTTGATGAGACGGAGGTTGGGTACGATGGGGTGCTTGAAGCATTCTGTCTTGGGGCCTTTGCCTAGCAGCACGGTATCGTCTTTCGAGGCGTACAGAATGGCAGGGTGGAGATTAGGTGGTTTGCGCTGAAGTCCCTCGGTAGTCTCAATGATGCGGAAGTGTTGTTTGAGGTCTGAAGGACATGAGGCGAAGATGGACTTGTCTTCAACACTACTCCGTACCTGGCGCGTAGGCTTGCTGGTGCTTCGCAAGTCCCAGGTTTCTTGTAGCGAGATACCTGCAGATGCGTCTGCACCGTTAGTTGTCACGTCTGTTGGGCCTGTGACTCGGAGTATGGAGTCGAGGACTTGGATGAGTTGGTCGTTGTTAGCATTGGCACCTACGACTCTGTGATCCGGCACTTGGACGTGAATGCTGAGTCCAGATACAACATCCAAAGTGCGCACCCAGCGGCAGAGAGCACCCAGTGTTGGGGTCTCTTTCCTAATGCGCATCTCGGCCAGCAGGATGAGAGCATCTCTGTACTTGGAGTCTGTGAGCGCCCCAGATATACGCGCAGTAAGATTACTGCCGTCTATGGTGCCGCTTAGCCTTTACCATTGGAGCGAGCCATCTTGGACGTACCAGCTGAGTTGAGACCAGTGGTGCATGCTTGACGGAAGTCGAATACAGCAGTCCTCAGATCTTTGCATGCTTTTGACTTGATCAGGAGAGGATGCTCGGCAAGGGCCTTAAGGGTGTCCACCGCAACCTCAATCTCCTCTGGCGAGATGACCGAATGAACAGAAGCTGGCTCTAGTGGGCTTGTCTCGTGGGGTGGACTGGGAATGCCGTTTGCCTGCTTCTTGACGGCATTGGAGTGTGCCGTGGTCCGCTTGCGCTTCGCCATTCTGTATACTCAAAGTGGAAACTTGGAAGAGTCTGAGATCAGTGTAGATTACTGCAAACAAGATCGATTCTGTCGAGCCTGTAACAGGGAGGTGGCCATCGCCTCTGCGTTAAGGCCGAAATGTCCGGGTGGCAAGTCGTCGAAATCTTCGGGTCCGTGCCATTGGCGGGGCCTGGTGGGCGCGAATGTCCACTCGCATCGTGCCCCTCCACCACCATTACACAAAGCCCTCTGCCAACATTCCAAGATAGTCGCACCAATCCATATCCATGTCACCTGATCCACTTCTAGACACTTCTACGACTGCTGAATCTTGTTCTACCCCTGAGCGATGGCCCTGGTCCAATGGTGGCAGATGCTTCGGCAAGGCTCTCAGGTTACAGCTCGTGGCGCTACCGACCAAAGGCCGAGTATCACGGTAACATGTTAGCGCGTCGGGTCGTGCAGATGGTAAAAACAAACAGTGGATCATTGCGCCGCCGAATGTATTAGTGGTGGAGAGATCTCTTCTGAGACGGCCGGTAGATATAGTCACCGCTCTTCCCCTTCTGCCATCTTCTCTCCCCAATTCCCCAATTCCTCTTTCTCTTCATCACATCCACACCAGATACCTCTCCGCGCCTTCACAATGTCTACTTCCCTCACCTTCTACGATGCCACCATCCCAGTGATGCGTGGTATTTCCAAGAGCGCCATCAGCTTCCTCACCACCGCCAAAGAGGAGCTCTCAAAGGAAAACTCCAACTTACCATCCGAGAGCGATGTGCTGAACGCCCAACTCGGTGACATGCTGCCTTTCCGCATGCAGCCCATTATCCTCGGCAAGTTCCAACTCGCCGGAATTCAGAACCTCAAGCTCGCTGAGTCCGCTACGGCACCAACCTTGGACCCCTCTGCCTTCTCCTCGCTCGACGACGTCATCAGCTTCTTCAAGCAGCTCCTCGCCGTCCTTGAGGCCGTTGACGCAAAGGTGTACAACGAGAGCGCTGACAAGGGCCTCGATGTCGAAATCGGCCCCAAGACACTACACATGAGCTCTCTGTCGAGCTTCACAAACGACTTTGTCGTTCCCAACAGCTTCTTCCATCTCAACGCCATGTACATGCTGCTGAGGAGCAAGGGTTTCTCCCTGGGCAAGACTTCATACATTGGTGGTTTCATGTCTGAGCAGTCGCTCAAGGACTGGGCACCACTGAGGGCTTAAGTTTGGCAAGGAAAAATAAAATAAAATAAAAACAAGAGAAGGATAATTGGAATGGATACGTGGATCGAAATGGTTACATAGCGAAGACGCATCGTCGCGCTGTTGTGTGGACAAGGAGCCTAGAAAAAAACCAAGTAGAGACCAACACATCACCAATAGACCTTTATCAAATCACAAACATGTCACTGCTTCTATCCATGCTGTGCAAATGTCAGGAGAAGACTGCTTATATCATCAATTGCATGCATTAGATTCACTTATCAAAAGAATCCCTCAGCTTCTCAAATCGCTCCCTCGTCTCCTCCCCAAGCTTGCCCTCGACATCCGCAAGTATCGTACACACCAGACTATAATTATTGCAGAGGAACCTGTCCTTTTTCCGAGCATCGTTGATCCCTTTGCTCAGCTTGGTGAGGTAAGCTTCGTATTCGCTCCTCATTCGTGCCACGGATACACTGACGGGCTCGTCGTCGCCTGCCTCTGACGAGAGCGCCAGTATGCCCTGCAGTAAGTTTGCAAACTTTTGCGTGAGGGGCGTTGGTGCCGTGGAGGCTGCGCTGGAGGAGCCCGAGGATAGCAGAGCGGCGCCGGTGGAGGGGCGACCGGGTAGCGAGGTGGTGATTTTCTGGAGCGAAGTACAGTGCATGTCTAGGACTTGCTGGAAACGCGGCCATAGCAACATGTTTGTTGCGTTGATGTAGCCCTCGACTGTCGGTACTTTTCTCCGCTGGAGCTCAAAGGCAAAGTGTTGGTTGAGGCGTACGCAGAGGAGGATACCTAGGGTGTCGGTGGTTGATTCCACGAGTGATTTGGTAACTGCTTGTCCTACTGCCAGCGTGGGATCAAAGATTGAGTTGAAGGTCCTCGAGATGGCGTGGAAGTTTTGTGCGGGGGCAAAGTATGTGGAGACAAAGGTGTACTCGAAGCAGGCGTTGTCGATTAGGGCAAGGTTGAAGCTGCGGAAGGGGACTTCAAGATAGTGGGGAGACTTTTCGTCTTCAGCGACATTTGCTGGTAGAGCATTGGCTGAGGAGCTTTTCAACGCGTCGCGTCGTCGTCCAAGTGAAAAGGCGTCATAGGATGTGGGTGCGTTGCGGGACTGGCCGAGCAGCGTGCCGCTTCTTCTGGCGCTGGGGTCTTCGCCCAAGATGTCGTATCTGTCCATGGCATGGACTTTGATCTTCTCAAGTGCTGTCCTGTAGCGCGTGAAATGGTTGAGATAGTACCAGCGCATTGTGTGAATGTATGCTTGGGCAATCTGCTGCGCAAGCTCTGCGTGGTGTCTTGCGAGGAAGGCGTATAGGTCTTTGAATTTCAAGAATGCTTGCTGCTGGATGACTTGTGCATTGATAGATGGGGAGCGGATAGCCTTGATCTGCGCCACTATGTAGTCTCGCACTCGCTCGACGGCGCGATGGATGAGGTCGTCTAGCAAAGGCTTGACGTCTTTGACAGCCATCAAGTCTGGATTCTCTTGGGCTTTGTCACGGATCGTCTTGGACCGTTTTTCCACTTCTGCAAGGGCACGCACGAAGCCTTCATCAACAGGTCCTTCAGCAATCTTGCGCACAACAGCTGGGGAGATGCTGATGTCTTCTACGGCGGGCCCCAGCAGCTTCTCGACCACCTTGCGATTTTCCAGCTTCGTGTTAAGCGCAATCGATCGGTTCTGGAGAGACTCTATCTCTGCAGACACGGCCTCGAGATCAGACTGGAAATTTGTAAGGTTGGCTTCGACCGACTTGAGCACTTCATCGCATGCCAATATGGACTTGTGTAGGTCCTCAAACGTGTCTTTGTCCTTGTCATCTGGAGGCACAATGAGCAAAGACTTGCGATGCAAAACAACAGCACGTACATTCTTCAACTGACTGTGCGCTATATGTATGTACAGAAGTAGGCGGCTGTCGCTCAGCAGGCTTGTCAGCGACGAAGTCTTGCAGGCTCAGGCCTTGGAAATTAACATGCTCGTCCAACTGCTCCGGCTTCCCGAGAACATCCCCGCCACCATGTCCGTTTGTTGTCGGCCCATTGCGTGGCGGCCCTCCCATTATAGCCTCGAGTACGTGTATAGGATCGGGGACGTTTGGCGGCGCGCCGCCTGTCTGTCGCCTGCGTAGTCCGCCACTGGGCAGGCGTTCAGATAGCGGCAGGCTTGCGGTGGAGGCATTAGGGGATACGAGCTGTGTCAGCGAGGAGGAGCGCGGGGTTAGGCCAGGCCTCACGGGCTGGGCCGAGACTGGATAACCTCTTCGGGGAGCTGGTGAACGGGAGTCGCGACGTGGAGGCGGCGTGCCAGTGGGTGTCGAGTACTGAGAGAGCCTGTCCAAACCCCACATGGCGTTGTGGTAAGTAGGAGCAATGCAACAACAGCGGGTGCACTAAAGAATTCAATCCGACACGAACAGGTAATGGTGGTGGTGGATGTAGTATGGTATTCGTTGTAGCAGTCGGGGCTTGGCGCTGCTAGAGCCTCCGTCTGTTGTTCCGGCACAAGCCCCCTGGCAACTGACACAGTATAGTGTCAAGAATGCCTGCACGTAGTACCTAGAGCAAGAATACCTATTAGGGGGGTTGAAAAATTAATAACATCGCTCTTACCATACGTTGTCAGCAGCCGCCTTGGTCTCTTTGCTGGCGAGGTATGATTATAGGGCGGAGCACATTGACTACAGTATCCTATCAGAACACTGGTAGTATTAGTAGCATTCGACAAAGTACGCTCACGCGATAGACTTGATGGCGACCCCACTTGCTACGTAGGTATCCCGAAGACCCTAGAGAAGAAAAAAAGAGGGCCTGAACCAGTATTGCAGATTGCTGATAGAAGGGGAATTATCTATAAGTAGAGGGGAAGAAAAGTGTCAGAGATGGGGGGTGCTAGATGTGTAGAGTACCAACAAGGCACAACCATGGTATTTTTTAACAGACGCGCGCTTCTTTGGGTTGCCCACAGACATGGGCAAGTAAGGGATGCTAGTACATACTAGAACACAAGGGGTATACTAGACACGGCCTGAATAATACGACGATTCGACGGCGGAAAGGAAAGCCTCCCACGCCGCCCCTCCCGACAAGGCTGGCATCTCGGCCACTGGTCTGTGCGTGGCGTTAGCGTCTGTCCAAAATCAAAAATGCACACAAACGCTGGCTGGCTTCTCTCTCCCATCCCCATTAAAGTACCGCCGCCCACTCCCTACTGCTTTTCGCCCAGCAGCCCGACTTGAGCCTCTTCCTTCTTCCTCACCCGTCGCTTTCAACTCTCATTCATCACCATGGCCGACAACGACGCGCAGGTACGTTTTTTCTTGAGGCTTCAACCCCGCATGTGCTCTCTTTACCCCACCTTGGTCGACCATCGTCGCCGCTTGCGCCTCGCCGTCTCACCCTCGTGCGCTACCACTCCTTCTCATATGCTAATGGCCTGCTATAGCATGAGCACACCTTCGATAGCGCCGATGCCGGTGCTTCCAAGACCTACCCCATGCAGTGTTCTGCTTTGAGGAAGAACGGTTTCGTCTGCATCAAGAACCGCCCCTGCAAGATCGTCGACATGAGCACCTCCAAGACGGGAAAGCACGGTCACGCAAAGGTTCACTTGGTCGCCATTGACCTCTTCACCGGCAAGAAGCTCGAAGAACTTTGCCCTTCCACCCACAACATGGACGTTCCCAACGTTACGCGCCGCGAGTACCAGCTCGTAAGTAGCCCCGCACATGTTGCGACTACCCCTCGTCTAACAATACAAACAGCTCGACGTTACTGATGATGGCTTCCTTTCTCTCATGACCGACGACGGTGCTACCAAGGACGACGTCAAGATTCCCGATGGTGAGGTTGGCGACAAGATCACCAAGCTGTTCACTGAGGAGGGCAAGGACACTAGTGAGTTACACCTGGGAAGCCCATACCAAGACTTTTTACTGACCATTTACTCTAGACGTCATTGTTCTTACTGCCATGGGTGAGGAGGCTGCCATTGACGCCAAGGAGGCTCCTAAATAAATGATCGGTTGGTTTTGTAGACTGTTTGGCAGGATGCGAGGCGCAGAATGCGAACAGCTTACGGATGGGGCTGCAACACTCTTTGCGTGCATTTTGCAAAGTTGCACCCTTGTGGCAAACGAAGCATTCTCCTCGGCAATTTGCGTCGGGCGACCGGTGCTGGACGTTCTTCGGACGGATTTGGTTTCTTTGAATTGCCATGTAGGGGAAACATATCATGAATCATTTCCCTGTCTCCAAATATCACTTACGCTTATGGCAATGAATAAAAGGTGATGCTGTTATGGTAAATGTCGAGCCCCTCATTGGCTGGGAAGGGAATTTTCGTTTTCGCGCTAATCAACAGCGATCTTCTACTTTGTCAAAATCGCCACTCACCACAACGTGCAACTTTAAACATATGGTGTCCGTGCCAATACTAACCTTCACATGTCAACTCGAGCTAGACTGCGTACATAGCAGTATTATTGGCTAAGCAGCGCATCTTGTCTATTGCCGACAACGCTTAGTGCATCGGCGTTAGTCAGTTCGATTAGCCCGAGATAGACAAACTACCTTATCCCTATGGCAATAAAAGGTCCCGTGTGCGGCATCGACAACTGCCGGTCAAGACGCTACGAGGAAGGCGAGGATGCACATCTTTACTGCGAGAACGGACATCAGCAAGCCGGTGTAGTGCACGGGGAAGACGACGACGACTATAGAACAGCCTCCCGGACAGTCACACGCAAAAAGAGAGATGTGGAAGAAGATGGCAGGACAACCAATAAGATCGCCAAGGGCACACAGGCTTTTGATCTTTACTTGAAGTGTCTGCAGCTCATATTGCGCCACCAAATATGGTTCCTGGTGCAAAACAAAGGACTACCTGCCGAACTCGAAACGGTGGTTTACGACCTTTGGGCATTACGTATCGCTCAGCTCGAAAGCAGAATCGCCTCCAACGAAGATCCAAATGCAGACTCACAACCCCAATCACAAACCTTCAGCACTCTAGAGAGCGAAGATGATCTCACAGATACCGAGAAAGGCCATGTTCATGGCAAAAAGAGAAAACGAGGAAAGATGCTATCTACTGCTCCAAATCTCAACGACTGCCTCTTATTGTGCTATCTTGGTATCAAAACATTGAGGTTACCCGTCACGCCGGGTGATATTCATGCATGGGTCACGGATAACAAGTTGCCTTATTGGAGGGCCATCAAATTGGTACCGCTTTCTATGAGAGACCGGCTACTACCTGTGTATCGCGCGGTTCTCGATCCAAGTGCACCATTCACCTACACACGGTTCTACAGACTGCTGACAGATCTGCAAATAAGTTACGGTGCAGATCACGGTATCATATGGCCGCCTCTGAACGTTCCTTTGCTCTTGTTTCGCTACCTCAAAGAGCTCGCTTTACCATTGGAACTTTACGGTGCAACAAGGTGTCTAGCAGAATTACTAAGTTATGATTTCGCTCCACACTACGAGAACAAGAAACGAATGGGCATACGATACATTGCCGAGGCACAGCTAGCTAGCTGCCTTATCGTATGCACCAAGCTGTTATGTCCATTCGGTTCAGACCAGCTTTACTGGAGGTTTTCGGCGGGAAAGACTGTGGCAGTGATGAACTGGGATGTGTGGTGTAAAGAGATGAGCGGTGTTAACGACAAAGATACAGATACTGGGCGCTTCACTACCGAAGAGATGGCGAAGCTACAAAACGAAGACGTATTCTCCATGGGATCTGAAGATATGGATCGGTATCTCGACTTCTATGCGGATGCATTTTTGGATGATGCAGCGATTCAACGCACAAAGCGTACAGACTATTTCCGTGAGGCACTTTTTGACATGTTTCCCATAGAGAAGGAAACCAAACACCCGACAAAGAGCTCCTATCCCAAGCTGTCGCTGCAACAAGAATTAGGTGTTGTCAAGTCAGTCCATAGTATGATGGCGACAATACCAAATACGGAAGATGACAGCGGGCAGATTTTGAGGGCTGGACAAGCATATCGGATTTGGGAGACACAAGAAGATCTCCCTGAAGTGGCAAGGGTATTCTACGAGAAGATTGGAAGACTAGCGGGATTACCGATGGATATGCTATTGCTAGCAGTAAAATTCACGGAGGCGAGGGTAGAGCAGTGGAGAAGGCAACAAGAGAAAAACAGTGAGCGGAAATGAAATGACTCATGCAGTATTCTAATCAATCCCTCAAGTATTCTGCCCTTGATGTTACTTATCCCTACTTACAGGTTGCGTTAGCAATCCGACGTGATGTGGATTGATATGTCTGTGACATCAAGAAAACGAGGCACAATAACTGCAGCTAGTTCCGGTGAGATATATTTTACAGATAACAAGCTCAAACTAGAGATGCACATTATTTCAGGTGCTGGTGTTCCTCTTGGTGTACGATGAAAGAGAACGCACGTGAGGGGCAAGCCCGAGCGCTAGTCTTCTAGACGTTAGATCCCAACGCTCGGACGCCCACACTGCCAATTCGTCTTCCACTTCGCCTCGCTCAATCGACGAACTTCGACACCAAGATCCAGCAACACCGCAAACATGCAGATCTTCGTGAAGACCCGTACGTCGCATTATCGCTCTATAATTGCTTGGGTTATACTAATATCTCTATAGTGACGGGCAAGACAATTACCCTCGAGGTCGAGTCCTCTGACACCATCGGTACGGATGTCCTCGATCGATAAGACGACCGCAGCGCAACGCATCGCATGCAACGCTCGCAGAGACGTTAGCTTGAAAGGGAACTTGGGCTGACAAGCATGGACAGACAATGTCAAGGCCAAGATCCAGGACAAGGAGGGCATTCCCCCGGACCAGCAGCGCCTGATCTTCGCCGGAAAGCAACTCGAGGATGGCCGCACCCTTGCCGACTACAACATCCAGAAGGAGTCAACACTCCACTTGGTCCTCCGTCTCCGTGGTGGCATCATTGAGCCCTCGCTCAAGGCCCTTGCCTCCAAGTACAACTGCGACAAGATGATCTGCCGCAAGTGCTACGCACGTCTACCACCGAGGGCTGTCAACTGCGTACGTTTTTGCCTCATCACCTTTGAGGGTCCCATATTTGACGTGGGACAACTCAGCTAACGACCCACAGCGCAAGAAGAAGTGCGGTCACACCAACCAGCTCCGCCCCAAGAAGAAGCTCAAATAGACGATTCGCTTATATTGGCGTCTGGCGAAGAGAGAGTATCGGGCACGGTGGAAACGAATTGCAACGATTGCATGCGATGGATATGAGGGCAAGGTCACTACTACTTTCACGGCACTTGCCACCCTCTGTGGCGGCGTGCTGGTCTTATCTCGGATTTGAGACTGGACGAAGGGAACTGGGCATGTAGAGTGAAATCGATCAAATTCAAACACCCACCAGCTTCGAAGCTTTCCCGTCCCTCGACACGTTCCTGGAACCTATTCAACGTGGTGATTGCGCAAGTGGCATCATTTGGCTGAATGCCATTCAGATCACGTGATGACGTGTCATACTCGTTCATTGATTACGTCATTGCTTGGAATTCTACAAAACCTGACGTTGGAAGTATGCAATCTCTCCAGGCAAGTACCAATGTGACGAATGTTATCAATTTTCTTGCCGTGCAATCATGACTGATGTTGTAGAGGGGCTGAAAAAAGAGGACTAACGAGGAGCTGAGTACTAAAGCGATAAGTCTGGTTACGAAGGGATGTACCGATGAACGTGAACCAAAAAAGAGTCGTGAGAATTGTGAACATCACGATCAGAAAATTGATTTTCAATGTCGCACAATCAGGCTACACAAACGAGTGTAACAAACTTAGCGAACATAGTAGGGGCTGACAAAACTATCCATTTTTTTTCTGCAACTGACAATCTGCTCGTACTGTACTAAACGACTCTTTACACATTCAAACACAGAAAGGAGAAAAAAACAAAAGTACTCGTGCAAAAAGGAGGAAGAAAAACCCCAGAAAAAGGCACGGCCCCCCTGCTTTGGAAGGGCAAGGAAAACAAAAAGCGATAAAACAAAAACACGAAGCCATCAGAAAAAAAACGAATTTGCCCCTCATTCTAAGCGTACCTGTCGTAGCTTGTGTGTAGTCGTGTGTATGGACAGATGCACATTTCCGATCTGTCATAAGACATATACAATTCACACCAAAGAGCTCCTGACCGACCGCGAGGATGAAAAACATGTAAGCAGATATGGGGAAAAGGGGAAAATAAAGTATACTGGTGTCCAACACACCTGATTTTTATCCACCGTGAAACCACCAAGAAATAATCAACATGATCGTATAACTGTTGGGAGAGGAGGACGATGCATGTAAAAACAAGAGAAGGGGGATGGGGAGAAAATGAAACCCAAAAACTCCGATATACATACAACGGGAAAGCGGGTAAAATGGTATCGTAACGCCTCGCTATGCAGTTTACTAAAACAAGTGTGAACTTTAAAAATGTTATGGGCAGCGTAAGTGCGTGTGATGTCGATTTTGTCTCCCCGGAACATGCGGGTTTACATGATGATGACCGGGATCGGCGCCACAAAAGCACAAAGAAGTGGGGATGGATGACTGGTGACTACGTCATGAAATACTGAGAAACAAGCGGTCGTAATGGTGAGCACCTTAGGCGCGAGGCTTTTTCCAGTAGTATTGCTATGAGCGGTTAGCTACTTATCCAATGACAACATCCAAGCACGCGTGTGGGACTAGTCCATACCTTGTGTGTCTTTCTGACAGATCGTAGACCAGTGCTACGTGTGCCGGCGGTAATAGTTTCTCGCCTCATCTGGTTGGTATCCATCTCGGGGACGTAGTAGAATTCATTTTCGAGGGGCTGACCGGCAGCGTCCTTTCCAGCGCGAGGAATTTCACCGACGCAGGGGGTATCATCCAAGATCTTCTTCAGATCTTGTGCCGTTAGCTGAGGTAGAGGTGTTACTACACCACCTTCTGTGTCCTTATCTTCAGTATTCTTTGTGATACAAGCCTTCAACTCGGCTGGAAGGTTGCTGTGAATGGCAGACAAAGGCTGAGAATGAATACGAGAGAATGCCAACTGATTGATGACGTGATTCCTAATGGGAGACTCCTTGTAGCGGATGGGCTCTGCACAGCGACGTTTGGGAGAGGGCGATATTAACGGTGCACGCATCCGTGGGTTACTGGGCTGTAACGGCGTGACTGCGTTGAACGATTCGAGGCCGCTAATAAGGTTCTGACCAAACGGACCGAAAGAGTGTACAACGGGGTCATTCTCTTCGTCATTATCCGAAAACTCATCGGCAGCGTAATTGACACTTGCTTTAAGGTCGACAGTAGCGTCTGCATCACGCCCAGCCTTTGAGTTTGGAAGGGAAGGCCGGATAAAGGTTTGTTCTGCAGAATTAGGAGTGTCGATACTAGGGCTACGTTGGCCGACATCAACATCCTCAAATACCTGGACCTGTCCGGGCTGGCTGTTAGTGCCGATGGCGGCAAAGTTGGGACGACGGATAGGGCTCTGCGATACAGGCGAACGTGGAGCTAGAGGAGGGCTGGAGTTGAAGTTTTCGGGAGCACGGCGACGGGTGGGAGTGGGCATGCCCTCTTCTTCCGATTCCCACGACATTTTAGAAGCGGGGACAGACGGCCAAGCGATCATGACACGGGTGTCCTGTACATCCAACATAATCGCCGTCTCTGGGTTCTCCGACATGTATGTGTCTCCCTTGCTCAGCTCAAAGATGCGGCCCTTGCAGTGAATCTTTGCTCCATTCCAACCCAGGCACTCGACCTCGATGTAGCCCTGTGGGTATAGTGTGCTTGGCGCGTGGTAGGCGGCCTGCACGTGGACACGCGAGATGAGGCGGTTGGTAGAAAGTTGGTAGTCGGATGTGTTTGAGCTGCGGCCCATACGCAGGATTTCGCCATCTGCTGGAAGGTCTACAGTGGGTACAGCACCAAGAGGGGTCCGCTCGGAGAGAGCCGAGAAGGTGCGTTCCAGGCCCGGCCGGGCATGGCGGGGCGAAGACGAAATGATGTTGGTTGACGACGTAGGCTGTGGAGTTGGGTAGTACTTGAGCTGCTTGGGGAAGGTTGGCGAGTCCTGGTCAAACTTGCGTTTGGTGGGCGATGGGCGTGGGAAGGGTGATGAGGAGAAGGGTCCATCCTCGCCGAAGGCCGGAAGAAGAGTCGGTGTGGCCTTTCTCACCCGCTCCGGCTGCAATTCAGTCGACTGCAAGGGAGACTGTGCCAGCACTTTGCTGGGTGAGGCGTCCATGTCGTCTGCTCAGCTCCTGGAACGCGAGACAGCGTGTCGACGCCTATATGGGGGCACTATAGACGTGACTAGTCGGAGACGTGACAGCCGAGAGGGGGTGGTGACGGCGGGTGCAGAGGGGGCTGTCAAAGACGCAACAGTAGCCTCGAGGGAGTCTGTGGGAAAGAGAGAAAAAAGCCGGTTATGAAGAGAGGAGAAAAGCCATTCAATGACGAGACTAAGCAGCAACGCGGAGAATCGTGCAAGTCGCGACTACCTAAAGCTCGGACCACGTTCAGCACCAACCCCCAGCCTCGCAATATGCCTCCTGCTTCATCTTGCCAAAGGCAGAGCAATTCATTTCATCTTTTGTACGTTTGCATCACTTGATTGCTACCAAATTGCGTCACACGAGTATATATATGCGCATATACGGACGCATGTACAACTGCCTTCTGAATGCCTCTATGACTTGGTTTGCCTCTGCGCTGGACCCCCATCCCACTTTGTCACTCCACAATTACAGCATACGAAGCACGCTTACCGGGACCTTTGACACGCAGACAAATTATTCCAACGTAACAAGAAATCAGATATTTCAAGCCTACAGCTCGCTACAGTATATAGTCCGCGGTCCTTGCGCAGGCACCAACACGCACGCGATCGACATGCAGGTAAAAGAAAAACTCTGTGCAGCATCTGACGCAGCTAAACGCGACTGCAAACACTTCCACGCCTAAAGTGGAGCAGAGACGCGTTCAGTGGAAATGGTGGTGGCCAGGCGAGAGAGTGCACGGTGGCAGCGTCTCGGCTCAAATCAATCAATCAGGGTAGCCGGATTCGAGCGATCCTTCGGTAACGTGAGCCCCCGTGTCTGCGAATCAGTGAATCTAGAAGCGTGTAAGCTCCCCCCTTCTTCCAATTGAGGGGAGTGCCTTGCAGATCGCTTGGTTAATGGAGATGTCTTTGAACAAGAAGACTAAGAGACGAGATTGAACAAAAATCAATGTTACCAGGGCAATTACGAAAATCATACAATTATTCCCCTACAGCAAGCACGTGCCATCAATTTCACTTCCTAATCAGTACTAGCGTCGTGGCTTCTCCACATAGTCAGGTAATATATCATACACTCTTTTGACCTGCTTCATTTCCTCTACTATCCAAGTCAACCGACCCATACATGTAGAAGCGGTTGTGTATAGTTTTGTCCGGCAGTACCCGGGATACTCCCAAGGGCGACATTGACAGCGAAATGCTTCTCCCCAACCGCCCTTCGCCATTGACCACGCCAACAACAGCAATGTAGCAAACAACTATCATAACGACAACATCGATTGTAATTCATTGTAACACAAGTCTAGAGGGGCTGATGTGCCAAAAACCAAGTCATCGGATTCAGCCAAGCGGCGGGGCTCATCACACAAGACGTTTATATAGGTGCTTGGATCTTTTCACCATACAGCTTCACTTTGGTTACAGACATCCTTGCTCTTGCATTGATTGCATTGAATGCTACACAAATATTTCTCCATTCACTTGGGCGGTACCATTCTATCGTTGTTCAGGAGCGCCCAAGTATACCATTACATAAATGTTCATCTTTTGGACTCCTGAACGCCAACACCAGATGCGCCGTATCATGCAGCGATGCTTATAAAAAACTTTAACTAGCAATCAGAGGCGTCTGTACCGACTTGAGCACATCTTGCTTCAACGCCTTCCTCTTTTCTTTGCTGATCGAGCTCTTCTTCTCAGACTTCTTGTTTTTCTTGGCCTCCCTCCTTGCTTGTTTCGCTGCAAACACTTCGTCGTCCAATAGCTCCTCTTCCCACTCGTCCCACTTTCGCTTGCGTTCGGCCGACTTTCCTTTAGCAGTGCCCTCTGTGATTGTGCCTTGGTATGGTCCGTCCCGAACCTGGCTGTCCTCCACCCACAGCTCTTCAGCAAGCCAGATGGGCAGTGCCTTTGTCGCTGGGCCCTTGACATGAAGACTACGGATGTTGCGCCAACCCTGACCGACGTGCTTGTTCACAACCTCGGATACGACCGCGGCGGTGTTCTCGGCAATTTGTTGTGGCGTCATGGAGAGGTTGGCGACCTTGATCGAGGTGTTCGCAGACGGGCTCATGCTCAGGTATGTCGAGTTGAGAGCGGATTCGATTTCCTTTGCTACACCCTGAGGTGTTCCCACCACATCCTTTGATTCCTTGTTATCCTTCTTTGCGCTCTTATCGATGTGTGCGCCAGCAGTCAGGCGGATGGGAATTGGGCGCTTCGACTTGCTCTTGTAGAAAACCTTGCCCAAGAACTCTGCGACAATCTTGATAACACGATCATCGACCAAGAATACATCATACTCTGCAAGCAGTGCACGCTTCTGTTCAAATGACTTGTATCGCTTCTTGAGCTTTTCGACGCCGAGCACACGTTGTACCTTTGCGCGGAGTGCGGCAGGAAAGGCATCGGATGCTACGAGATCCTTGTATGCTCTTTGCGGGTCTTTGGTGAAAATGCACACCCGGACATCGCTAGCGATGATAGGGTGAGGGAGCTTGCTGGGTACTGTCAGTTGTGCTCTATGCTGTACATGATATGCGACCATACATGGCGATAGGCTTCATGCTCTTCGTATTGGCAATCTGCTTTTTTGTCGAAAGACTGAGAAAGATGGGCTCATCAATCTCCTCGGCGTCATCCTCGTCTGCTGCCAAGCTCTTTGTTGGTGCTTTCTCCTGCTTCTCTTCCACATGCTTCTTCATGTGCGCAACGAGCGCTTTCGCCGCGCGCTCGACTTGCGCCGGGTCCAGCTGGTAGGGTGTGCCATTCGCGAGTTTGGTAGTGAGAGGCGCCTCGATCGCCTTCTCAGTCTTCTTGGTCACAGCTGTTGATTTCGCCATTGTGATGTTGTATGGTTGGTTGTGCTAGAAACTGTGCTGGAAATTTGGCTGAACTTTTTGCGAGAAGACTTGGCAGATGGTGTGCACAGACCATGAACCAGCAACTTTCTGCGCGCCCCAAACCAAAAAAACACGACAGGGTCGACCCTACATTTTGCCAAGAGTCGTAGCAGCGGGGCATCTACAGGGGCAGTCGATCCATACCTTTCCTTCTTCTGTGCACTATTAGTATTGGTCTTGATTTTTTTTGTTTATCCAGATATGTATGCGACATTGCATGCGGCGTACTGAACAGTATCCAAAGAAATCTAGTTCCGTCTTTGGTCATGGTTTCTTACATGCGGCAAAAGATCGGTCACGTGATATATACCGGCGTGCTTCACTACGGTAGCTTACTTGAATGTCATCCATAATGTCCGCTAACTCATCTGTTTTGAGTTGTAGAATCGGAACCATAGGTCCCCTTCAAGAAGCTCTGTGGCAAGGGCAATACCGGGTGTAACGAGGTTATGCATATTCAGCAAAGCACCATTATTCTATCTACACTCTTCTCAGGCTTGAGGGTTGGTCTTCCTGGGCCTCACTTCAGAGTGTCGTGACAGTTCAGTCTGTTACAAGGTTACCTTTAGTGAGGCTGATCTTGGGACTAGTCCTCGGTGATATCATCGGTTGTAACAAGATATTTGGCTGCAGATCCGATCAGATGGACATTGATGTGTGGAAACGATCAAATCTACAATTACAGAGATCATGCATTCTGAAAGATATCGCATTTACTAGCCCTATAGTTGGTGAATTGTTCATTCCCCAATCTCAACAGATTGCCTAGAGCCTGTTAGGTAGAGCTGGTGTCTCAACTATGTAAGCTTACTTCTGAGTATATTAGGTCGGGATCACATTGACCAGATATGTTTCAATATAAAATATCAGATTACTAGGATAAATGTAACCTCAGCTCCACCTCGACACATAACTAGCGCTACATCACAACCTCGAGATTACCTCTATATGTTCTATACATACAGTGGTCTGCCACATACGGCGGGACATGCGGGGGTACTTGTAGAAGTAATAAATGCTAGATTGGTCTGTTGTCTATACTACAAGCGTCTCCCAGCATTTTACCCTTCAATAGCTATTCAGCAGTGAGAAACTAATATATTAAGACTTGTGTATTCTGAGCTGACTGCAAAATAGTCCCGATACATGGAGTTGAGACCCCTGCATGCTCGGATGTATGTGTCAGACCGCAAGACATCTCCACCTGTCGGAAAATATCACGGTAGCAACTTTGGCCTAGTCACATTTATGTTTCTGGGAGATATAATTAGTGTGCGGGAACACGCATTGGTATTCGTTGCTAGCCACCTCTTCTATCACTTTCTTATCATACAACTCCAGAGATATAAGCAAAGGATACTAGGATAACAAACATGAAGCTCCATATTACCCTAGCGTTAGCACCGCTTTTCTGTACTTCTGTGACCGCCTGGTTACTGGTTACGTTGTTCTATCTTAACTAGTCCGTTGTATTCAATTAAATTTGTAACAGTCTTGTCTTAGTCCTCCAGGGACGTTCACGCTGTATGGGTTGTGTCGATTCAGCGACAGTGACTCATCAAAAGACTTTTATTGCCTTTCTGTAAGTAAAGTATCTGTGCTTACAGTTTGACAACGAACTAATTAGCTAGACCACTCCATGCAGAAAAGATGGAAATCAGTGCTCCTCTGATAAAGGCAACCGGGCTCGGTGTACTTAGGTCGTTTAGTAAAGCAACACTATTAATACATTAGAAGTCCTTTATATAGAGCCCCCTACTCAAGTACTATAGCTGTCAATAGTTGGAGAAGCAGTAGGACAAGCTGAAGACAATTGATTATTTTTGCGACACATGGAAGAAGGTTGTGTTGATCAAGGTAATGATAGATATGATGTACATTTCGTCAGTACTTCATACACATGACTGTGATATATCTCAAGAATATACTATGTAAATGATCTTCGTTTGCACTGCGACGCGTTAGAAAATCCGTTCAGGGTCCGTCGTTTGGAAGGCGTATGGAGTGACTGCATGGTGAGCTGTGGTAGTATACGCTTTGACCATTTCCGGCTGAAGCGGCCTCGGCTGGATGCAGACGTCATCCGACGCGTCTCAGGTGTCGCACGCCTCGCAACCACGGAACCACGATACTTCTCCTCTCACACATTTCGCAATGCTGCACTTACTCCCCATCTCCACCCTACTTCTGGTGGCGCGAACCTTAGCGCTACCTTCTGCGCATAGCGAATCTAAACCCTTGCCACTGCTTATATGGCACGGCCTAGGCGACAACTATGCTGCAGATGGTCTGCAAAGCGTCGGCGAACTCGCAAACGAGACAGTTCCAGGCACTTATGTTTATTACATCCGACTCGACGAAGATCCTGGAAGCGACCGGACTGCAACGTTTTTGGGCAATGTGACCGAGCAGATTGCTCAAGTTTGCGACGACATCTTGGAACATGAGGTCTTGTCGCAAGCGCCGGGCCTCAATGCAATGGGCTTCTCACAAGGTGGACAGTTTCTTCGCGGCTTAGTGGAAAGATGCGGAGATCGCATTAACATCAGGAATCTGGTTACCTTTGGAAGTCAGCACAACGGCATTGCAAAGTACCAGCTCTGCAAAGATGGAGATTGGTTATGCAAAGGATATATTGGATTGCTCAAGGCAAACACATGGGGTTCGTGGGTTCAAGGACATCTTGTCCCAGCACAGTATTTCAAAGCCACAAACGAAACTACCGGCGAGCCGACCGACGATTACCTCGAAGCGTCGAATTTCCTCGCGGACATCAACAACGAGCGCGTGCTGAAGAACCCAGCGTACGCAAAGAATCTTGCGGCACTGGACAACTTCGTCATGTATGTGTTCGAGGACGACACGACAGTCATACCCAAGGAGAGCGGCTGGTTTGCATATACAAACCTTACCAGCAACGAGGTAACAGAGCTGAGGGATCGTGACATCTACAAAGAGGACTGGATTGGATTGAAGAAGCTGGATCAGAAGGGTGGTCTGCATTTCAAGACCACCAAAGGCGGACATATGAACTTGGGCGACAAGGTTTTGAAGGATGTCTTCCAGACTTACTTCTCTCCCCAGGGCACGAAACAGGCTGGTTTGACCGGAAACGTACAGGATGTTATGGAGCTGTAGCATGTAAGTCTGTTTTGTCGCGGTACCAACAATTAGTTTGTCTGAGTAAAGGTGACTGAGCATATCGGTCTGACCTGATTAGCCCGTGAAGCGCAGGATCGCTGGGTTGTTTTTCATATGAATACGGGATTGGGACCAGTGGTCTCTTTGTTTTTTTCACAGACTGTACCTGATATATCGTGAGTTCAGTAAGGAAGGTTCCGACAGGCTTATAGGCATGAACGCTAAGACCATGAGCTCCCCGTACTTGTACCAGTCAATGTACTCTAAGCCCGAGGGGTACTGAACACTTGCTGTACCTATCTAATCCTGAGAAGCTGCACATCATGCATAAAAGGCAGCATCTCCTCCAATCGTTTGGCATCTCTGCGTGCGCCCCTCTCCCTGGACCGGGGTTTTACGGCAGACGTCATGCTTGGGTGGGTCGATGAGCATCAGCCCACAGCGACACTCTACGCCAGTGCTGTTCAAAAGGAGTTAGTCTTGGCCTTTCCATAGTTTAAATTCTCAGAGTTCCCCAGAGTTTTTGGTTCAAGTTTCGCCCGTCGCGGCTCCTCTCCACTCTCTCATCTTTCATCTTGTTGCTCACGCTGAGCTGTTTGCTTCCCGGACAACTTCAAAGGCTTTATCGATAAGCTCTACGTAATCCTAGCATCGTCACCACAGCTGAACTCAAAACACAAGGTTCAATATGTCCGTCTCAGCAGCATTGAAGAGTCGAGTTCGGAGGCCGAGTTATCTTAAGAAGCTTGCCAAAGCGGAAGATTTACTACACCACTTTCCCAATGGAGCATACATTGGTTGGAGTGGCTTCACAGGTGTGGGATACCCAAAGTAAGTGTGTTTATCTTTTTGTCCAGCTACACGAGCAGCCATACGGCGATGGCCTTGACCCCCTGAGAAACATCAGAAACTTGGGTATTGTGTTGGGAGTCTGTAAACACATACCCGTAGTTCCGAGGGGGAACGGAAGTTTGGCAAGTGACGAAAGCCGAGTTAACTCCGGCTCCACAATTCCACCTCTGCATGGGTCATGTCATGTTGGCTAGTCAGGACGACTCATGAGACCGGTTCTGTCTATGGTTGTTGTTGAAAAAATGTTATTTTGGATATATGCTTCGCTTCTGGCATTGCTCATTCCGTCGACTAACATGATTGCAGGAAAATCCCCACGGCGCTGGCGGACCATGTTGAGAAGAACAATCTTCAGGGCCAGATGAAGTACAACCTCTTCGTCGGTGCTTCGTCAGGCGCCGAAACAGAAAATCGATGGGCGCGACTCAACATGATTGAGCGCCGATCTCCGCATCAAGTGGGCAAGGAAATCGCCAAAGGAATTAACAATGGTAACATCAAGTTCTTCGACAAACATTTGAGTATGTTTCCCGTCGATCTGATGTACGGGTAAGTAATTGAACGCAAAACCACCTCAAGAATGGACAGTACTGATTGGACAAGCTTCTACACATTGAACAAGCCTCAGAACAAGCTGGACGTGACTATTGTCGAAGCGTCTGCAATTACTGAGGACGGTGGCATTATTCCTGGCGCCAGTGTAGGCGCTTCGCCCGAGCTTGTCCAAATGGCCGACAAGATTATCATTGAAGTCAACACTGCCGCTCCTTCGTTTGAGGGTCTACATGACATTACCATGACTGACCTCCCACCACGCCGCAAGCCTTACCTGATCATGTCTCCTGAAGACCGCATCGGCACACCTCACATCCCTGTGGACCCGGAAAAGGTGGTTGCCATTGTGGAGAGCGACTACCCAGATCAGACACAGCCCAACGCTGCCGAGGATGAAACCTCGAGGGCCATTGCTGCGAACCTGATTGAGTTTTTGAAGCATGAGGTCAGCCATGGCCGCCTGCCGGAGAATCTATTGCCTCTTCAGTCCGGCATTGGAAACATTGCCAACGCCGTTGTTGGTGGTCTTGCTGTAGGTTCTTTTTTCGCATGCTTTGCTTAATATCTCGTGGGCTAACTCGTGTAGTCTGGCGGTGCAAACTTCAAGAACCTCAAGGTATGGACTGAGGTTCTCCAAGACTCTTTCCTGGACCTTTTCGATTCTGGAAACCTCGACTTTGCAACGGCTACGTCAATTCGTTTCTCACCTGACGGTTTCGACCGCTTCTACAAGGGATGGGAGCAGTATGCGCCTAAGCTTTTGCTCCGCTCCCAGCAAGTATCCAACAGCCCTGAGATTATCCGACGTCTTGGTGTTATTGGTATGAACACGCCTGTAGAGGTGGATATTTACGCACACGCCAACTCTACCTGCGTTATGGGCAGCCGCATGCTCAACGGTCTTGGAGGCTCTGCAGATTTCCTGCGCTCTGCTAAGTACTCGATTATGCATACACCATCGACTCGCCCATCAAAGACGGACCCTACGGGTGTGTCTTGCATTGTGCCCATGTGCACTCACATTGACCAGACGGAGCATGACCTCGACGTTGTCGTAACTGAGCAAGGTCTTGCTGATGTGCGCGGACTGTCGCCCAGGGAGCGTGCCCGGGTTATTATTAAGAAGTGCGCCCACCCTGACTACGTTCCTATTTTGGAGGATTACTTCAACAAGGCGGAATTCGAGTGCCTGAGGAAGGGATGGGGCCATGAGCCTCACCTGCTGTGGAACAGCTTCGATATGCATAGGCATTTGAACGAGCATGGTACCATGAAGCTGCCCAAGTGGGACTACTACAACCGCAGCTCGTAGGAGTTTGTTATGAGTCAGGAGCGGAGTAGGCAATGGTTATTGATGTTGCGCCTGAATTAATGATTTTCTTCGTCCTTTCTCGCTTGTATTCTTTTGTTGAATCCACCATGCCGTGTCATTTAATTTGCACGATTTTTTGTTGACTGTAAGGGAATGTTTTGTTATCCGATGTGATTTTAGGTGGTGTGTATTTTTCTGTCCTATGGGCGTGTCCGGCTTGCAGTCCAGCCGAGGGAATTGGACGCGTACCAAGCAAGCGGAGTAATTAATACGGCGCTTTTGGATCGCGATCACAGAGCCGACACGCGCTATCGAAAGCTTACGTTATAGGGCAGTGGCAAGTGACTTGCACCCTACCCTACGTATCTAGTATGAATGGAATGCGAGTATGTAGTAATGACGGAAAAGCAAACCTGCAGCCACAAACACGACAGGATCCGTCTGCACACATGCATGTCACGCTTACCCCGAAAACTCTGCTAAGACCAGCCGTTCGGCAGCGTTGGGCGCATGCGCTTTTACCGCCTATTAATACGTGCTTTGCCCATTAGTGCAGACTGTGGCAATGCGCTATTCCCAAAATGCTTCCCACGCGTGCGTTCGAAAGCCTCTCGCGCCGCTTCGCAAAGTCGACGGCCTACGACAAAGTCGCCAGTTTTGCCCTCACGCTCTGTACAGAACGCGCCTTGAAGCCTCGCAAACCCCCCGGCCTTGTTTCTCGACTGATTCTGTGTCGGCGACCATCATCGGTGCGCCTTCCCAACGGGCTGCGAGTCCACTAATTATCTGGCTTGCCATCGCGTTCTACCGCGTAAAGCACGCTCACGTCTCCCACCACCACCTCCACCACCACTCCCTCTCCACCACCCGCTCCCACTGCCACGCCTTGGTACCCTCGACCTTGCACCGGATAACCCTTCTTATCCAGCCATTGCATTTTTGACTCCATTCCCATCGCTTGTTTCCAATCACTAGCTGCCACTCGTACTATTCCTGCTCCTACTGTTTCTCCTACCCCGCTGTCCGCCCATGATGCCTCATCGTAAGTCTTGACATCCCCCAAGCCGACCTGCCCGTTACCGTGGTTCTCACATGTCCATTGCGCCACTAGAGGCCCCCGATTCTGCCCCTACACCATCCATTGCTAGTCCGCACCAGTCAGACATGCGGGCCTCGCAAGAAACAGTCCACTCGGCCCAGTCCAGCACCTTTTCCGCTCCCGCCCTGGCTTCCTCCTCGAGCACCCTCTCAACTTCCACGACTACAGAGACCGAGAGTACCGCCCCTTCGTCGGCCAATGCTGAGAGCCACCACTCCAAACCTGCCGACACACCAGCCCCAATGCTAAAACACCCACCCCAATCTCCTCGTGGCGACGCGTGGGCCGCACCGCGCGTCGATACCGCCGCTGCTAAAGAGTCGCGCGCTGGTGACAAGGCACCCAGTCCAAAACCACTAGGCTCCCCAGCTACCCAGGGCTCCAAGAGAAGTGCAGACGGCTCTGTCAAGGCTGCTGGTGTGGCCCTCGCGACACCTTCTACCTCCAGACCCATGGCTGCCCACAAGAGAAACAAGAGCATGGATACACACTCGGGCACTCGCATTGGAGAGGTGCGCCTTCTCGCATCAAGCTCGTGTTACTGAATGCTGACGCGAATGCAGCTATCTGCCCAGCTCAAGACGCGTCTTTCGTACGCCATGGTCAAGGTCCAGAACGGCTGGGAAAAACAGTCGCTCGAAGAATTGGAAGAAAGCCAATCGCAGCGCGGATCGCCCAACTCTGCTCCTGGCAGAAGTGATTTCTTAGCTTTCGACTCGCCTGCTGATAGTGAACGACGACGGAGACCGAGCGGTGTCTCGGATATTTCTGATCCGATGATCATGTCACCGGTCTCTGATCCCACGCGATCATATGTGGGAACACCAGGCCGTCAGTCTTCTTGCCCTTTGACCAAAGCATTCCTAACACTCTTTAGCGTACTGGACACCAGCTACCCGTCCTGCAATGCATGCTGCCGCAAACCTCATCTCCATTACTGGTGCCAACCACGGTCACGGGCCTAGCCATGGTCATGGCCTTGCTCCGGCTCCCACATTCCAGAACTCACGAAGACGCCGGTCTACAGTCTCACATATTCCCCCTCCTCTTCTAGCAACAGGCCAAAGGAAATACTACAGTGACTTGAGTGGGGACATACGATCGCCAGCAACTCCCCGAGCAGGAATCCTTCGTATGCCTAGTCAACAAGCAGAAAAGGACGCGGTCGACACATTGCTCTTCATGAGCAGTCCGAACAATTCGCAGCGCTTTCCCGTGGGGACTCTAGAGCCGAGTCCACTCAGGACTGAAGCTCCCCAAAGACGAGTCATGTTCGAAGCCTATCCTCCGCAGGATAAGCACGTCGTATATCATCATTCTTCTATGCCCGCACCTCCACACCATCACCAGCACGGACCCTATCCAGCCCATCCAGCACGATAGAGCTGGCAACCATGTCTGCGCCCTGCAGTGGTTCTTTTTTATTTTTTATTTTTTTTCCAGCACTCTTGTTCCGACTCATGATGGCATTGCATTGCATGGAAAATGGCGTCGCGATTGCTATTGTTGCGCATGCTTTCTTTGTTCTGAACTGATTGATGTACATCACTTGACTGTCTATGCATAACATACATATGGGAGCGTGCATCTTTTGCTTGTCATCAAGATCCTGGGACGGCCTTGGCGGGGAAGTGTATTGATTTACTTTTTTCCATGTTCGCTTGTGTATTTTACTTTTCCTGTCATGGCGGCTTTTGCTTTTATGGTTGTTCATACTGGGCTTAAGCTTGGGCCTGGGCCTTTTTTTGGTTGCATACAAAAAAGTCTTATTTTAAAGCATTATGACAATGTAACGATTGTATGAACACAGGCATCAAACCATACAAGGGCTTTTTAATCATGATCACGACGAAGAAGAAGAAGGATATGATTGTAAGGCAGCAGTAGAATTCGCAAATGTCATTATTCGCAACTCGTAATCGAGAGCGTTACTACTGCATCCAAAAAATACCAACGCAAGACGTACCTTATGTATTCCCATATGCCCCCAAAATCGGACATGAAAAAACCCCGAAACTCGTAGAGCTCAGCTAAGCAAGCCCCCCGTATCATCCATACATACCTAACATGATATTCATCCCAACATCGGCGTTATTTATACAGACTGTAGATGGAAAAACAAAACCTCCATATTTTCGTTCAGTGAAAACTCCCAGAAACGCCCGACTCAGGTTTGTTCAATAAGCCTGAGCAACACCGCTTACCTTGCGCTGCACAATTCCACTCCCGCCCCAATGCCCACCGCGGCCTTCTTCTGCAATCTTACCGCTGACATCGCGCCTGCGCCCAGGCACACCCAGATCGGCGTCGTCAAAGGCAAAAGCACCCGTGTAGTCAACTCCACTCCTGCTAATCACACGCGGTGACTGGCCTTTAACCGGTGTCGAGTTGGCCTCGCCTGTACGCTTGATCGACGTGTAGCTCTTCTTGTGCAGGGAAAACGGCGCATTGGGGGCGAGTCCGTTGCCTTTACCTTGGCCGTTCTGGGGAGCAGGCGCGTTGACGGCGTATTGCTTGGTGGCGCTAGGGAAGTGGTTGGGTTGGCGGCGGAAGGAGGAATCTTTAGTTGGGAATGAGGAATTGGAGTGAGGCGAGTTGGCGCTGCGGACACCGGCAGTGGCGTCTTGTAGGTTGCCGTAGCGGCGCGATTTGGGTGTTGTAGCGCGCGATTGGGGGCGGTCGAGGTGTTCTTCTGTACGCATGCTGTGGCGGGCGTTGTCGTTGGATTGGAGGTATGCAGGTGGAGGTGTGCTTCCTTGGTGGTCTGACACGTCGGCTGGAGGAGGTGACGGTGGGTTCATGCGCAGAGGCTGTGGCATCATTGGTTCTCGGGCGTCGGCGTCGGCGTCGTCTTCGTGATCAGAAAGTACTTCGTATGCAGTCACAGTGCTGTAGCCCTTGTTGGCGTTTGCGGAGGCAAAAATGGACTGCTTGAGTGCTTGGGGTGCGTGGCCATCGTGGTCATTATCATCTTCTTCAGCTGAGACGAACCAGTTGTCTGCCTTGAGGCTTTGCTGTGAGTTCCGCTGCAGAGATAGGTCACCAGTTGCTTCTTGCTGTTCGTTGTTTCCACTTGAACGAGGCGTGTGGAACTCGTTCTTGCTTGGGCTAGTAACATTAGAGCCGGGACGCGAGTGTCGTTTGATATTGCCTTTGCCAGAGAGCATCGATTTGCGTTGCGCTAGAGTCTGATTGTCTTCCTCGTCGTTAAGAAGGTCATCGCGATGGTTAAGGTTCTTCCGGGATTGGTATGCAGTAGGGGGCTGTGAGTACATGGAGAAACGTTCTCTAGACTGACGAGCTGACGCAGGCGTATGCGGCGAGTATACTGTCTCGGACTTTGCGCGAGTGTGCATAAATGCAACCTGGTTCTTGGTAGGGCTGGGAATGTCTGAATAGATGTATGACTCGGCTTTTGAGGTCCGGCCACTATACAGTGTGGTCTGGTCGCTGAGATGCTTCTCTTGCTTTGCGGTAAGAGGCTCCATAGCCGAAATGGACGAGTTCTTATGCTTGTGCTTGGCCTTTCTGCGTGACGTGAGATTGTCCTCGAGCGGGTTCATGTCCGGTGGTAGTTTGGAAATCTTGCGGAATACAAGAGCCATGTACATGTCCAAGAAGGTGGAAACCAGATGCAAAGCACCGACCGAAATGGCGGTGACCCATGTCGTAAAAAGTACTTTTTCGGTCTCCTCGTTGGTAGGGAACATTGTGACCCAGCGACCCTTCTCTCCAACCTTCATGTCGTAGTTCCGTCGAGCCATCAAGACGGTGAAGACGTAGAAGGGAATGAAACCAGCATCTGTGACAAGCGCAAAGAAGTGGTAGCTGGCAGAGCTTCCTGCTGGCCTGTTCTTGGGATTACGGATCAAGTGGTACACAGCATACAATGAAATGATAA